GATGACACAATTAATTTTTTAATACATGTATAACCATTCGTCTTAATAAAAATACATAATTTTTATTTTGTTGTGACTTGGTTTATCATTAGCTTAATTTACACTCTCATATTTGCACATTTTTTATACGGCGAATGATTAAATGTGTGTGAAAAAATCAATAATATTATCTATTTAAAAACGGAGGAAATATAAGTCTCAACAAGTTTCAAATGAAAACATGTTCCGGGACGGCTGGACTATATATGTAAGCAAAAACAAAAGTTTACCCGTATTATAAAGCAGGAGTTTTCAAAGGAGCTGGATTTGTTAAACTCAAATTGTAGGTGAAATTTCCTGGGTCGGCACCACTCATTTCCAAATTCCAATCGACCACAGGAAAAATCAAGAATGAGAAGAAGGGTCAGAGAGGGTAGAACGGTAGAACTGCCCACGTCGTATCGCACTATACGGTTGGAAAATGGAGGCATCGCCCCCTCGAAGCGGCATCCCCTGATTGGTGGATCTGGTCTTCATGTAGTCACCTGGAACGCGACTTCCGCAGCTAATATATCTACTCCTTCCATCCAAAGAAAACGAGAAACCCTGATTTCCGTGTTCAATGTTTTACCGTTCGTCTTATTTTAAAAAAAATATGAAAAAATTAAAAAGACAAATCACACATAAAATATTAATTATATTTTATCATCTAACAATAATGAAAATACGAATTATAAAAAAAATTTATAAAGACGGATAGTCAAAGTTGGACACGAAAATTCAGGGTTTGTTTTTTAGCTGAGGGAGTAGTAATTAACAAAATTCGCCGAAAACCTCTCCCAATCCATCATGCACGCACGTACGTTCTAACGTGTCCCCGTTGATTAATTTGTTAGGCTTATGCTAATGCTTAGACTAACCTAACCGTGTAGGTTATAGCAGATAACGTAGACAAAAGCACCTGTCCCTTTCGATTAGCAATTAGCAAACCGGGTTAACCAGCTATCCATCCCATCGCGATACAAACCACGGGATCGAGTGCCTTGTTAGAATTAATCTCGTGATGATCTGGTTGAGATATTTGTGGCGTCGTTTGACCAGATGTAATTACGTACAAGAGCCAGGAGGAAATTAAAGTCTTCTTGCTCTAATCAGTTAGGAAACCCGGGCAGCTTGAAGATGCCGATCTGCGTCAAGAAGATGCCGTGAAAATTAGCAAATTGTACTCCTTCGTTCTAACACAAGTTATTTTTTCACAAATTGATTTTTAAACCTCTTACAAACTTTTTATTAACAAATCGATAAATTTATTATCTATTCAATATATTCTAGCTACACCTAATAATTGATACTCCATCCCTCCTAAAATATAATAGATTTTGGTTATATGAGATATATATCTTATAAATAAATACGGTCTAAATCTGTACGATTAGGATGTTACCATTCAATCAAAATCTTTTATATTTTAAAACAGATTAGTATTTTAAAACAGAGTATTAACGAAGCCCGTTCAATATTTTTCTTTAAGTATTAAATTTTATTTTACACACGAGAAATCAATTTATTTTAGGACATGAAGAGTTCTACAGAGAGTGTGAATTCAGGGGCAGGATGGAGATGCACGTACGGGTGCTAAGCTTGGGTTAGCGACGACGACGCACCCCGCACGTCTCCTGCAGCTGATTTCTTGGACCGGCGCTTTTTGACGCCGGCGATTGAACCCGCGTAGACCAGACGAGCACCGTGCCTACTCAGCAACTAACACATCTCTCTCTCTCTCTCTCTCTCTCTCTCTCTCTCTCTCTCTCTCTCTCTGCCCATGCAGCCTATGGAAATTGATAATTGATTTACTATCAATTAGGTTCACCTAATTGGAGAAGAAAACTGGATGTGCAAACTGCAAAGTGCAAAAGGCTTTGGCTTTGGGAAAGGCTATGGCTACTTGGCGAGGGAGCTGGGAGTTTCAGCTACAAAAAATGCATTCAAATCGGACGCAGAAAAAGGCCTGTTCTTTTTCCAAAGGTTTCCAAAAGGGAATCCATGCATACCGGACACTTCCAAGCGTCTTTTGTTGTGATTTACTACTCCTATCTCCCCCAGAATGGAAAATGTGAAAAACAAGGAGAATCAATCTTCTTTAGCCCTTTTGACCAATGTAAGAAAAGAAAATTCTTATTTGCAGTGATGCAGAATTTCTTCTTGTGAGTGACCCCGGCCCAGTTCTTACGTGCACACTGTACCTACGAGCCTAGTATAGGGTCCTTTATCAGCTCGGTTGATCATCCTCATTACCCTGCCCCTTGTTACCTTAAGAATGAGATCCTCTAACTTTGGGGGTTATAAGCAGAGGAATAATACCATGACTCTGAGGTGTTTCTAGCTGTCTGATTCACAGCAAACGAACGAGATCGATTACTAAAATATGCTAAAATACTGAAAAAACAGTGATGCGATGCTATATATTTTACTGTTTTACACTGTTGCTACAGAAAATATATGCAAAATCACAATTTCTTATTGTACCATCAGACTTATTTTATTGTACGCCCCTACCTTTAGTGCCTAAAGTCAGAGGATCTGGATCCTATCATCTTCTGCTTTATTTGTTCCTTATTAGACGTTGAGTTGGGTGTCACAAACACTCTCTCCGTGATTTTGCCTTCGAGCTTGAATTCTCCCAACACGGTTGAAAACACCTCAGCTGATGCTTAATAACGATAGAGTCAGTATTTGTATACCTATAACTCGATTATTTCCTATAACAACGATAGAGTTAATCAACTTATGAAAGTTGACTAGCCCAAGATAAAAGAGGAAGTAAAAACGTGGAGCGTTACGGGTGCGAGAAGCCTCGCTGCATGGCTGTCACTGTAATTAGCCTTTTCAGCAGGGTTGCAGCTCTGTTTTTGCTTTTGTAAAGTTTCCTTTTGTACAGTTTTCTTCTTCTCTAATCAATAAAATTGGCGGCCTCGTCAATTCGTTAAAAAAAAAAGTTGACTAGCCGGCTAATTAGAGCATAATTAATTAAGTACGACTAAGTAAAATATGTGGTTTTGTAAAATTTATGTTGAGTATTATATGTTGCAAAGTTAAACACGGATTCAATAAATTGTTTCAAAAATACCGACGATGAAATATTCTTTAGAAAAACGTGCCATTTCGTAGCTTTAGAAACGTGCCCGCGGTAATTTTAGTGGGAGCTTCTTTACATACGCACCTCACATGACAAAATGGAAGATATGGGGTATCAGGTACCGACTATCAAATCATGGGAGAGTTTGATGACAATAGGGAAAGAGAAAGCTGAGATCTACTCCTAGTACTACTACTTGGGAATCGGAATACAAGACAGATTTTTGATGATGTACAGGTGACGAAAGGAAGCTGGTTGAAGAGCATGGACGGCATTGACCGCGGGATATGATTGTCTGTGTGTGTGTGTGTGTGATTCACGCCCCCCATATTTCTTCTGGTCTCCACAACCACGTGGGCTCGAGAGTTGCCAACCAATCCACCACCACTAGTCGTCGTCGTCGTCGTCGTCACCACCAAGCGACAAGCAAAGCAGCTAGAGGAATATTGGAGAGACGAGTAGACGCTCTCTCTCTCTCTCTCTGTGTCTGTCTAGACCCGGATCGATCGGTTTTTGCCTTGCATTTATAGGCGTGATGGCGATGTCGACGACTGTTCGAGTTGGAAAGGAAGAGAAACTTAATTCTTTTCTCTGAGAAAAAAAACATGGCTCACTAGTCTCTGCAGCTTGGAAAAGAAAAATGAGGTGAACAGCTTGGTCTGAACTTCTCTAGTCTGAAGAAAAGGATGGGCAACTATTTTGTCAAGAGCTACTCGCTAGCTACCGCTGTCTCTGCTTACTGACTCTCCGCGATGTGTCGAGTTTTTTCTGAAAGTATCCGCGTCACTGTTCAGACTATTGGGCTATGCCTATGCGGAATACAATATAGATTCAGTAGGAGGATCAATTGATCGAGTGTGTCAGGTTTATAAAATCAAAACAAGTGTGTCAGGTGTATTGTATATTCAGGGATCATGGGGGATTGCAAGTACTGATACGGTGGAGGGATACTAAATTAGTGGTACTAACAGCAGCCATGTTTGTACTTCGAGTTGAGTCTTTGACTGCAATTATTGAAACATGAAACTTGGCCATGGCTACTGATACAGTTAGTTGTGCACTTTCTGAACTTAACAATGCCAACATGGCCGTCTGATTCTGCTTAGGTTTGTCCCATGTTGTCATCGGCAACTCCCTTGATTCATGAACAGAAGAGATGTCGTGGTAACCGGTTTGATATTTCTTTAGTTTCCAGAGCTGTTTTCAGTGTTCTATCCTGATTCCATCAGTTACTTCTGAAACACACTCCAAATGTAGATCAGGCTTATTCAATATGTCCCTTTTAAGTTATTAAATACCGTATGCGTTCACCTCAATCAATTGGTTGATTTTAGCACACCACAGTACTATTCAACAACATTACTTTTTTGCCTGTTGCTGCATCATTATATGCAAGATAAATTGATCAGTGAATGCTGAAATGGCCAAGTTTTTCAAACTGCAACTGGTAAATATAAATTGAATCAGCAGTTCAGCACCACATCAAGTGGAATGCATTGGGATCCAGATACACCCAGGATCAACCTCCAAACAAAGTCTTCAAAATGGTTTCAGTCATTGAATCTTTTGCAGTCAATTTTTTAAACACATTTTTCCTGAAGAAGGGATATTTAGATTTTAGAAGAGGCAATTCACTGATTCACCCTAGGGTTTACAAAACCGCGTGGTTACCACGCGGTTATCACGGTTACCATGCGCGGTAACCTTTTTAGTTTTTGTAACCACGGTATGTCTCGCGGTTACCGCGGGAGTGCGATAAGCGCGCCAAAAACGGTAAGGGGAGCCCTGATTCACCTTCATTAACATGATTATGGTTCATGCCAAATGCTTAGTTCAACATGTACTTTACCTACTTGCATGTTGCAGAAAATGTTTTTGCAGGACATGAGCACCGTGACAGTTGGGTCCTTGTTTTTTAATGTTTTTGCAGGACATGAGCACCGTGACAGTTGGGTGCTTGTTAGGATGTTCGAGTACTTAACAATTAAAAACGCATCACGCTTATTTTCCCTCTTAACAGCTGAGCTACTTCGAAGAACACGGGCATCTGCCCTTTAAAACGCTCTAAAAATCACAGTAATTAAGCATCCACAAGTACGTGACGACGCGGGCAAAATCTTTGACGCGAACATGGGCGTGGTCACCGCGAACGACGCGGCGGCGGCCGCGCCGGGCAAGCTCCGGCGGCCGAGCAGGGCGGCGGCGGCGGCGCTGTGCCCCTGCAAGGGCCGCGGGGCGCCGAAGCCGCCGCCGGTGGCCGTGATCGCGCACGAGTGCCCCAGCGCGATGCGCGCCCTCGTCGTGGAGGTCCCCGCGGGGCGAGACGTGGTGTCGTGCGTCGCCGCAGTGGCGCGCCGCGCGCGGCGCGGCGCGCTGGTGCTGGGCGCGTCCGGGCGCGTCGCGGACGTGGTGCTCCGGGAGCCCGCGGCGGTGGTGCTCCGCGGCACCATGGAGATACTGGGCCTGGCGGGGTGCTTCTTCCCGTCCCCACCGCCGCATGCGGCGGCAGAGGGCGCCCCCGGAGGCGGAGGCGCTTCCGCGGCGGTGTTCCTGGCCGGGCCGCGCGGCGGCGTGCTCGGCGGCGGCGTCGCGCCGGGAGGGCTCGTCGCCGCCGGGCCGGTGGTGGTGGTGCTGGCCACGTTCGTCGCGGCGGCGTTCGACCGGCTGCCGCTCCTGAAGGGGGAAGAGACCGCGAATTCGGAAGGGTGCGACGTGCATGGCGTCACCAGACGCCGGCGGTGCGGTGCTCAGCCGCCGCAGCAGCAGCAGCAGCGGTGCGGGTGGGCGCTGTGCCGGAAGCTGGGCGCGAAGAGCTAACCGGTGTCTAACGCAATGGGCCGAGTGAGATGCGGGCTATGTGGCCCAGGAAAACTGGGCCTGTTTAGTTTTCTAGTTTGGGCCTAATGTCGCTTACATTACCTCGGTTGGCCATTTGAAATCAGAAGAGGAAATAGCCAAATAGGGGAGAAAACCACAAGAATGTGATACAAACTCAACAAAGGATTGGCGAAACATATGATAACAGTGAGATGGGGTGTTTGAAATCGTAGGCGGAATCCGTAAAAGCTGGTAAATAAGTAAACTTGATGCTCTCACTTAAACTTGTGATAAAATTACGGTTACTTGGAGTTGCATAGATTGATTTGCCTTGGGACCTGGCATAGGGGAAAAACGTTATGCGTTAGCTGATATTTGAACTTATATGTTCCAAATGGTAAATGAAAATTCTGTGCACTTTTCATGTGGTGCAATCCTCCATTCCCAGCTGGGGTAATGAGAACACACGAGGAAACCTATTCATTTTCCCTGTAGGTGTTCACAAGAGTATTCTAGCAAATGAGCCATCACATTCGACACATGATAAACATGAGAAAAAACTAACGGTGAAGAAATCCGTCTCCTTGGATATCTACAACCATTATACCAACTGGAGAAGTGGAGATCAGCCCATCAATGACGATTTAACTCTTTAAATAACTGACATACAACCAGTATTGAAGATAACCTTATGAAAACCTTCATCTTGAGTGCGAGCAACAAAGCAGGGTAGAGCCAACGCTTCAACGAGCTTCGACATGGTAACCTCGTTGACCTCCTGATCACTGTATTCACTCACATCCGATGATGAGTCTGCTAAAAAAATACAGAATCAACATCTATGCCAACCGTGTCCGTTGACAGCGGAACTAGGGGTGGGCAGAAAAAGACCGAACCAAAAAGACCGAGACCGAGAAATTTGGTTCTAGGTAGTGAAAAACCGAATTTTGTTCGGTCAATTCGGTTAGTCTCCTCGGAAAACCGAATAGACCGAAAAGATCAAATTATAAAAAAAAAGTCTAAATGCAACCTACAATCCACTATGTTTAATAGGATTAAATTCTAATTTTCACATCCCTACTTCTTCAAGGCATGCAACCTAATAAAAGTCTTTACTTATAAGTGCTTATGATTTTTTTTGTGATTTTTGTGTTGAAATTTCCATTATATCTTTGCATATATGAAAATGTTGTTGAATTTCGGTCAAGACTGAGACCGAGACCGAATTTGTCAGTCCTGACATTTTTTGCGCTGAAATTCGGTCTTCACTTTTCAAAGACCGAAAGACCGAAGACCGACACCGAAATTTTTTGGTTAGACCGAATCCCCACCCCTAAGCGGAACCCATTGATGAACTGACGAGGGCTAGGGAGTAGGGGATCACACCTGTTACCACTCGCGGTCTTTTAAACATTATTGCCACACTCTTTTCATATGCACAAAAATAACCTAGAATTATGTCCTAAAATTGAAGCAATTTTGCTATATATTTGTCGACAATTTTTTTCCTAAAAAGTTAACATATATAATTACAGTATAATTATAATGTAATTACGTCGTAACGTGCATATAACTTTTATATAATTTTAAACCGTTAGATTTGTTTCAAAATTTATGCAAGTGAAGAAGAAAAAAGTCACTGCGTGCACATATGTGAGAGGATTCGTTCCCACGACCTCCGTTTCACGAAAATAGCATGTTACGGAGAGATTTTTGAAAATTTAAAATTATGTCTATTAAAATTTTAGGAAATTTTTTTTCGACAAATATATAGGTGACCGAAACTGAAGTACTCGCTTATCAAATTTTGCAGAGGACTTCTACCAATCCGGGCCGGGCCCAAAATGCTGTAAATTATTCCCAGATTAAAGGGGGCCCACCTGTCTGTGTAACCAAACCCTCCAGTGCAGCAGAGAATCCAATCCAACCCAAGAAAAAAGAAGAATCCAATCCAATCCACCACACACGCGCACCAACCGAAGGCGAAATCCCCAAATCGAAATCGACCCAGCCAGCCAGCCGGCACGCCGATCCGATCCGTCCCACCCACCCACGCATCCGGCCGCCACCGCTGCGCTGCGCCCCGCCCTCTTCCACTCTCCCACTCCATCCCCATCCCAAACCCCGCGCCGCCTCTTACCGCTTCGCGTCAGCTTCGATTTGATTCGGTTCGGTTCGCGCGCGCCCCGATCTATCCCGCGCGAAGTCGATTCCCACGCCACCCGCGCTGTTATGTGCGCGGCTCCCATGGCTTCCACTGCCCAGCCGCAGCAGCAGCCGCAGCAGCAGCAGGAGCAGCAGCCGGTGGCGGCGGCGGCGGTGCCGACTCCGGCTCCTCCGGCTTCCGAGGCGCAGCCGCAGAAGCCGACGAGGGTATCGTTGTCGTACGAGGAGATCTCCAAGCTCTTCTCGCTACCAATCGCAGAGGCAGCCTCCATCCTCGGTAATCCCGCCCGCCCTCGCTCTCTCTCTCTGTCCTTCTCCAGATGTGGGCGAGATCCGTCGCCTGGCTCGATTTGAGGGCCGCGCAGCAGCTGAACGAACTTTTGGGTGGGGGGGGGATTTGCAGGTGTTTGCACCAGCGTTTTGAAGAGGATTTGCCGCAGCCACGGCATCGTCAGGTGGCCGTATCGAAAGGTATGTTTTGCCCTGTTTCATGAGCCGATTCCTGTGTTCTCGAGTGATTGTGTTGAACTTGAATGTCAGAACTGACGAGGAATTCAGCAGATTAGTTTCATGAGCTGATTCCTGTGTTTTTGAGTGATTGTGTTGAATGTCTAACTGACGAGGAAATCACTGGTGCGAGAAGGAAGAAAGAAAGCTATTTGCCGATGAGAACTTGCATGCTTGTTCTAATTTAGGGCTATTTGAGCAAAGAGAAGTATGCAGTGGTTGTATCCTATATGTAAACATGGTGCTCTCTTTGCTTATATATTTTGCAGCAGTTGGTGGCTTTAACAATTTACAAGGTAGACTGCTTTAGGAACTGATATCGTACTCATCAGAGGCTTATCTTAATAGTTGAATTAAGCGTATCCCAAAAAGTAAGCAAGGAGACGAATGAATTATGTCAGATGTTGGCTACTTGAAGATGTTCATGAAAGATTGAAGTTTGCTTCGAAGGAAGAAAAGAGGCGCTAGATTCTATGCCCTAGAAGCCCTATTATGTAGGTGGTAATTCATTGCTTTCCACTAAATTTGATGTGCGCTCTCAGTAAAACTCCACCTCCCTTGTCCTCCCATGCTGGCTGCCTCTAACCAGAACAGATAGCGACCACCCCTTGCTCCGCCATGGCAATCATCCATTAATTCAGAGCTCTTCCTGACACAGGCCGAATATATCAAGTATAATCTACATCGAAGAAATATAAGTCTAATTCCTTGGTATTGACTAGTTACTAAGATGGATGAATTATTTTATTCCACAATCAGCTGCTAACAGAACTGCTGCTAAGAAACAAAAGGCCATCATCAGAAGCTTCAATCACAGCACCTGTGGCTTTTGGGATGCACTTGGTGCGTGCCTTGATTGAGAACTGGAGGTGGCAGCCTTTGCCATGGAGAAAACAGACTGAGGACATGGTAGGATGAAGGGTAAAACAGGAAGGAGAATAGGCGAATCCTTGTGTTTAGGTGGGAAATAGTAAACAAAATAGGTAACATGGCATTTTATTAAGAGTGCACGTCTGTTTAGTGGCAAATAATTAATTGGCATCTGTAAAATGGCAAATCGTTGAAGCCATCACTGTTGAGTGGCGAATAGTTAAATTTCCCTAATAAAATACTCCTTCCGGTAAATATTCGATAACTGAAATATGCTGTCTAGCTGCATAATTGGTTAAAGCTTGTTCAATGGCTATTCGAATGCCCATAGTGAGTTGGTTCAAACTGTTATTGAAGATGGTATTTACTCTATTCTGCATGCAAACATAGAACAACTACAGTCTGAAAGCTATTTCTACCCCATGTTGTCTTCTCTTCCGCATATTGATTATGTTTTCCCAGCTTTGTTCTTAGTTTCTTCTTTGCAATCCAATTATTTATATTATTTTTCTTAAATATTCATGCTTGCAGCTTGTATCTGGGAAGTCTGGTGATGACACAAAAAACGCTGAAAGAGAGAAAGCCAAGGGACTTCTTGAGATATCTAAAGTTGCAAAACAGAAGGCTCTAAGCGCATCTGGTCTATCAACAGTGTGAGTAGTGCGTTTTAACTTGATTGTGTTGATGCCCATATTTTATTCCTGTTTCCTGTGCAATAATAAATATGTCTTCTCTCTTCTGCAAATGTTAACTGGACATGCTTGGTTCTCACTGAATGTTAGCCACGACAACTGCTTGCTAGTGCTATTTTCTTGATAATCAACAGAGTATACTGAGGTAGTTGATGGAATAATTCAAAGCTTTTTCTACTCGCATGAATATTTCAGTGTAATATCACGCTTAACTAGTACAAGATGTGAAGAAAGTAGTACTTGAAATTCCAGCATTTCCTTGTTCTCTTATCTATCTGGACTGATAATTATCATCTATGGTAGATCTGGATATTCTGTTACAGTCCAACTCCATCCCAGTTGTAATATTGGCTGTTTTATGGCAGTGTCCTATGGTAATTCCTATTGCGACTGATTGTAGCTTGTACTGCCAGCAGATTCAAGTTATGCTGAATGCACTATGTTGTAAACAACAGTGATGAACATATATGTGGCCAAGTAATACATATATCATAAGGGATGGAACTAATTTACAGGACAATCTGTTTTTTCATAAATTTACTTATTAATTTTAAGAAGAATTTGTCCCAGTTTTTTTTATCTGCTACTAAGATTTCTGCTCTGGATCCTGTATAACTTGAGAGTCTATGCACGTTTTACTGCAGACAATATCACCATTAACTTAAGCTATGTAGTGCAATAGAAGAAGTTAATGATATGCTCATTCTTGCCTTCTTGTCGCTAATCTGTATTATAAATCTAAAAGCACATGACAATTTTAATTGTACTTGTAGCTTCTGCTTAGTAAACTTTTACTGCTACTAGCTTTTGGCTTGTCTGATTTAACTGCTCAAACTCGGTTGTTGGTCTCATGACCCTTAGGTGTTCTATTATTCCTTTTATGGCTACTTTGAGCTGTGGACATGGATAATTGTGCTTATGAATTTCAGCTGGAAAAAAAATATTTGCGCAATACTTGCATACAGTGTGTTTTTGTAGTGGTTCATTGCTCAGGATTCTACTGACCATCCGCTGTCTGAGTATGGATGCTGGGGCAGTAGAGTGGGACATTGGGTTGGTACCAGGTAAACCTGACCACAACAACAGTTTAGACCATCCCTCTGTGGGACTCTCTGACCCGAGGCTGCGTGTTTCTATGTTTTCACACTTGGATGCTATCAACTTTCCCTCTGTTGTTACCAGTTACCACTATTGTAGTCTAATTTGGTTTCTCAGTTCTCTGCATCAAGCACCATATGATGATCTATTGTCACTATTGAAGCGGTTTGCAGCATTTGTTCTGACACTTAAATCTGGACATATTGATAGATCACCAGGCGCTTTCCAAGGAGTGGCAAAATCTCAACAGGGAAGTTCGAAGGCAGGACAAGTCTCACCCCCAGGAAAACAAAATGTGTTGGGTGGATCAGCAATCTTGTCCTATGGTACCCAAACCAAAGGCATCCCAACCTACATGGACGACTTCAAGTACGGATTTCCATCATCTGGCTTGTCTTTGCAAACTATGAAATGGTGGGGGACTGACAGCCACACGGAGACCACACCTGCGAAAGACGATAACGGTGAAGCCCCTGAATCAGCAAATGAGGCTTCGAAGGGTATGACCGACGATGAGTTGGACTGGGGAGCAGATGAAGCTGAAGCCGAAGCCGATGCCGATAGTGCGATCACAACCGAACCATCTGCACAGCTGTGCTCCCTGAGAAGGAAAGCTGTAGACGATGGGCGCAAGCTGCTGACTGGCAAGTCCTGCGGGGGACTGGAGCTGTGCAGGCTGAATAAGAGGCAGAAGATGGCCCTCGCCCAGGTGTTCGGAGCCTCACTGCCGGAGCAGTTGAGGAGCAAGCTCGGGTGATGATTTTGCCTGCCATTTGTACCTCTGTGTAACACTAGTTACTAGTAGTAGCGACCGGCATGGTTAAGCTGGTTCCTGATGTAACTTGTCCTGATCCATTTGTGTTGTGAGAACTAGATAAATTCGTTGTGAAGAGGATGGTAGGAGTTTTGCCTGCCTGCTTTCCCATTTCACGCATAATTCCTTTCGTCTCAAAATAACTTTATTTATTCATAATTTTATTTGTCTCTAAATAATTTTATCTTTTAAGCCATAATTGCATTAAAAGTTTATAAAAGTAGAGGACATATATTGGGGTATGTTAAAATAATAGACGATTGCATTGAGATTTGTATTAGGGTTTGTTAAAATGAGAGACAATTGCATTAGGATTTGTTAAAGTGATGGACATTTTAGTCATTTTTATTTCTTTGTACCTTACAGGTAATACGATTTTACTGAGCTATCGTTGATACAGCAAATGAACAATCAACAATCGTACGTGTTGTACGTCTACCTACGTGGAGTGAGGCTGGGTCGTCAGTCACGCCGCATCGGGCTATTTTGGTTTGTTGCCAATTCTTACCCTTTATAGACTGTAGTCATTTCGATTGGAATCAATATTAGCTGGGGCAAATCTATCTAAAGTTGGCTTAAGATTTGACACAACTATTTTTTCTTTTAAAAAATATTGTACAAACACACGTGACCATATAAACACATACACCATAGTTAGCGTCTATCACTAAATTACAAGTACATGTGCTAAGTTTAGAAAATTAAATTAAACTCGAGTGGATAGACTTCTTTTTTTTTTTTAAAAAAAAGAACTAACCCATTAAGCTGCACCCGCTTCGTGAAACAACCAAAATTATGGCATGCTTTAAACCAAAATGAGTTTCAAGATCGCATTTCTATATATCCATTGTCTTTAAAAAAAAGACAAAATTATGACAAGCTTCAAACCAAAATTGCCCATGGAGCCTAGCTGGGGTGATTGGGGTCCATGTTCATTGGTTGCTCAACGTGGACATCGAGGCCACCGCGAAGAGGTCATATCACTGATCATGCACCACCCGGCGTGGCTAGTTAGCAGCCTCCATCTCCATTTGGCCAACAAAGTGGCAGCAATTTCCGCATGCAAGAACGACAACTCGAGAGGAGACGGCAAAACAATGTTAGTGACCGTTTTATTGGCGTTTTGTTCCATCATTTTCTTTAGCGCTGTTCTAGAGCTTAATTTGTGCCGTGCATGCTAGCTTAATTGATTATGATAACCTAGCTACGGGTGTAAAACTGGGATCTCTTTATAACGATTAACGAAGGAATGTTATGGGATATTTTAATGTTTTTCAATTAAGTGTCCATAAAAATCCTGTAAAAGTTTTTTCATTACTCCATTCGTCCAAAAGTTTTAAAGCTTATTTATTTTCTGTTTTTTTTCTCCAAATGAGATATGCGTCTCCATATGCATCAAAGACTTAAATGAAGGACTTGTACTTTTTACAATGCTAAATTAAATTGTTAACTAAAATTCAAGCAAACATTGTAATACTAGTTGCATGAATCATGAATGCATATTATTTTTTCTTTGTTATATGTGAAATAAGTTAGTTTCTACTTGGTCTTTGTGATAAAAGAAATATGCTATAAACTTTTGGTTGGGGGGAGTATGAATAAGCCCTCTTATAATTCGACTAATTAATCAGAGGGCTTTTGCTGCATTACACTTAGTTATGGATAACTTCAATCAGCATTTAAACATGTGTAGAATTATATGGCATCCATCTCAGCGTAACATCTTATAACTGACTAATTACAATCTACCTTCTTTATTTCCATTTTTTTTCATGAAATGTATAGCATTTAGATATAAATTAATTTCATAGAGCCATTGAAGGTTTGAATATTCTTTTAAAAAATGCCATGGAAATATTTTGGTTGCTCTAGGAACGAATTGTGCTCTAGAAGAGAGCGAAGACAACGATGCCTAAAACAGTGTCAATTGAAATTTGTTTATCGTAGCTGTTAGTTTGTACTACGTTACTCTATCCACCAGTACTGTTCACATCAGAGTTCAAATCGTAGTGTCCAAAAATATGGTTGCCACTACATTTGGTTCCCCTATGCGAGATGGATCTGTATCAAACATCCAAATTTCCCACGAATATTTTGCGAGTTTCAAAATTTGAATTCCTTTTTCAAATTCCAAGGTAGTACACCAAGCACTATCAAGCTTGCTATTGGCTACAGTGCATACATACACATCCCTAGCTATCTACCCAGTACACGCATACGTACATGCACGTATTGTACGTACAGCTTAATTAATTAATTAATTAAATTAGACGTTGACGAGCGGCGAGCCGGTGAGGAACTCGGTGAAGGCGAGCGCGACGAGGCCGAGCATGGCGAACCGCCCGTTCCAGAGCTCGGCGTCGGCGCTCATCACGCCGCCGCTCCTCGCCTCCGCGGTCTCGCCGCGGAGCAGCGGCACCAGCGACGCCGCGGAGAGCACGGCGGCGGTGGCGGCGAACCACGCCAGCCCGCTCCAGCTGCCGGCCTGGTCCAGGAGCCCGCCGCCGCGCGACGCCTCCACGGCCAGCGCCGACACGAACCCCACCATCGCCAGCCGCCCGTTGATCCGCTCCGGCGCCGGCCCGCTGAACGCCAGCACGTCCCACAGCTTCGTGCTCGCCGCCGGCTTCGCCTTGGGCGCCGCCGCCGCGGGGCTCGGAGTCGGGGTCGTCGCCGGAGACGGGGACGACGACGACGTGGCCGTCTCCTCCTTCGTCGGCTCCACCTCCGGCTGCAGAACGATCAATCCCAAGTTAGCAAATTAAGAAGCAATCACCAGAACACACAGTGATCAAGTCAATCAAGCGTGGCATGCTCAGCTCACCTCGGACTGGGCCCTGACGACGAGCGCGACACGCCGGCGAGGCGCGGCGCGGCCAGCGGAGACGACACCACGCCATGGCGCGCCACCAGCAGCAGCGGCGGCGACGGCGAAGGAGCTGCTCAGCGCCATGGTAGCGGCCGCCATTGCAAATAACTCAAACACAAAAATTAACCAACTAAAACGCAGAGAGAGATCGATCGAGCTGGAGGAAGCTTAGCGAGGATCGAATTGAAGCAAAGAACTCAGGCGAGCGAGCTAGCTAGATCACTCTTCTTCAGTTCTTCTGCTGCTACTGCTGCTGCGGGTGACGAGACGAGCATAAATAGGCGGGGAGATCGAGAAGGTCACGGGGAGGTGGGGAGCGGTGGTGGTGGCGGAGGCGGCGGCCACGTCGGCGGGGGAGAAGGAGGCGGCGACGTGGAGGGCGACGGGGTCAGAGGTTGGTGGTCGCGGTCGACGTGGACGTCAAGGGCACCGTGCGTCGCCCGCCAAAAAAGGGTCAGGAAGAGTCCAGAAGGCGCGCGCCAGTAGTCGCGGGGGCAGGGTGGCGGTTTATGGGGCCACGTGTCAGTGACCGGTGATATGCTTATAGCCTTATACAAGGCTAGTAGCACAAGTGGCTGTGTATGGTTTTTAGGTGGACAACATGACGAGAGACGCGTGATCAAACTCTTCGTTACATGTGGTTGTGAAAATTTTGAAGACGATGGTCATTTTTATAATGATTTTTTATTATTTATTGCTTAATTTTAATAATCTTCTTCCTTATATATATCCGGCTTCACGATTTTTTAAGTCCTTCGCACAGCATATCTGGTTTTTAGAAGGACCCCTATGTAAAATAACATTTCAGGAGAACTGTTTGTGGGGAACCTAGATCTAATTACGCATAAATCAGAGGGTTTTTTCGAAAAATTTTCACTCCGCGCACTGTTCCTATCCGACGTGGCATCGCCCAGCGGCCGCTCCATGCGCCGTCACTATAGCCATTTTAGTTGAGTAATATTCACATCAACTTCTGTAAATGGTAACTTTGCTCAAAATGTACATTAATATCTATTTTTTTATAGTATGCAACATTGTTTTGTTTTAATCCAAGAGCTTCATAATTGTTCACTTGGTGGGTTACAAATTATTTTCTTTGTATAGCTAAGTTTATTGTTGGATCAATGTTCCGGAACTTATTTATTTCATTTCATGATCTGGAATATAAATTTAAAGCAGAAAGATTCTCCGTAGAATTGAATATGTTGTCGAAGGGAGACTCCAGGACCCTAGGTTACTGTTACTTATCACAAATGGCACGCAAGAAAACAAAGGAGCGTGGTGGGCATCGACGGTCTCTTCACCTCCTCCCGCGCATACAGCAGTTGGAGCTTCATGCTCACCTTGAATTCGATTTCATATGGTCAATTGGAGGAGGCCAGATGCTGGCTGCGTTGCCCCTAGCTCCAAACCAGGTCGTCGGGCATGCACATGAGAAGGCACATGGCACACAAGGGAGAAGGCTAGGGCTGGGTTGTGACTTGGGAGGAAGAGGGGGCTGTCCACACACCCGTGCCTGCTTATCGGTGCCGTGCGCGCGAGAAGGTGAGGCTAGAGACAAAGAAGACATATGGGTTAGGATTGGGAGAGGAGAAGTGGTGCGAAGTGGAGGTCGCCAGGCCATGGCGTTGCGGCGGCGAAGGTTAGGGAAGGTGAGGAGGAGCGATAGAGGCATAGGGAGAAATCATGATCATGAGGCCAAAGGCAGTCGGACTTGGATGATGGATGAAACGGAGTATGACGAATAGAAAATTACAATTTTTTAAGTAGGGTTAGATATCCATTGACATAGGGGCAATCTAACACATTAAGAATCATAGTCCACTATAGATAAATTTTTATGCCGGGTTCGTCAATATTTTTGCATTGCTTTGAGAGGCCTGTTTACGAAAAACGATTTTTCTATACGTGTCTGAACCAAACAACATCCAAAATATTTTTACATGTAGATGTTCTTTTAGCCCGCATGTAACAAAATAGGGTGTGCGTCCGCAAAAATCATTTTTATAGTGACTAAAACAAAACAATGTTGCATACTTAGAAAAAAAGACAAATACATTATATTATATTAATGTTAAAGTGTACTTTTGAGCATAACATTGATAATTCTCAACTAGAACGGCTATAATGAATTGAACCATCTCTGTGAACCGTTGCCAAGGATATAGAAAACGTGCAGATACAGCCAGTATCGTAGGCAAACCATCACGAACGACGTGAAAATCTCCGACGCGTTCGCCCGTAGTATGGGCTTGGCCATCTCCCTCGTGCTGCGCCAGCCGAGAAACCCAATCGCAGCGGCGTCTACGGCCCACACGGTGCCGGCAATGGCGACGAGCCTAACGTCCGGTGCGGCTGCCTGCCGCGCCGCCGTCACGAGGCGGAACAGCAGCGCTAGCGCCGCCATAGGCACCGACACGTTGCACCACTTGAGCAGGCTGGGCATATCGGACATGGAGAAACCGTACTTCTCCCTGAAGTAGAGGAGGCACATGGGGAGCGCGAAGAAGACGGCGGCGTAGGAGAGGCCTATCCAAGACACGCCGCCGACGACCAAGCCGCCGGCTATCGCGCTTGCGGCTGACACGGCGGCCACGAAGCGAACGCAGGCATAGCGGATCACCTTCAGGTGGGGCCGGTCGTAGGCGGCGAGGTGCTTGGGCATGTCCACCGGGTAGGCGCACGTCTTCTGGAAGTACGAGAGGCACAGCATTGGGAGCGCGAAGAATGCGGCGGCATAGGAGAGACCTGTGTATGACATGCCGCCGCCGCCGCCGCCGACCGCCACGCCGCCAGCGACCGCGCACGCGGCCGACACAGCCGCCGCGAGGCGGACGGACGCATCGCGGATCTCGCCCAGGTCGAGGGCGAAGAGGACCGCGGCGGGGTCTTTGGGATTGTACCCTTTCATCATCCGCTCCAGTGCCTTCCCGCTCTCCTCGTACTGTTTCCTCCTGGTGAGAGCCATGGCGAGGGCGCCGCCGTGCGTGAGGCACCACGCGAGGGACAGGACGGCGGCTACGTCGGCGGCCCAGACGACGCAGGTGGCGAGGGCGACGTCGCCGCCGCCGCCGGCCCTCGCTTGGTTGAGCACCGCCAGGACGGCGACGGAGAGCGCGACGGGGGTGACCGCGACGCACGCCTGGACGGACAGCGGCGTCCGCGCGATCGGGAACTCCTGCCGCAGGAACTCGAGCGCGTAGACGGAGAACGGGAGACGGAAGAGGAGCGCGCCGTAGCCGAGGACGAACGCGAGCGCCAGAGCCGCCGGAGCGCCGGAGGCCGGGTAGGCGACCGCGGCGCCGAAGGCCGCGTACGCCATCGACGCCACCAGCGTGATGTGAACCACGGTCTTGAACCGCAGCCCTATTGCGTCGATTCTCGGCTGTTTCGTATCCATTATGGCTCCTCCTCGATCAAATCGTTACTACGTCTACGTGAAAAGATCAAAAGAAGAGGCAATAATAGGTTGCCTTATATATATAGGAGTAATTAAGGACCGTTTCGTTTCGTTGTCGGTTGGAATAAGTCCATTTGCCTCCCTCAATTCTTGCCCTTTATCGAATTACATCCCTCAACCGCAAAACCGGGTATATTACCTCCCCCAAGTGTTAAAACCAGTACAAAAACAACTCCCTTGGTGGTTTTTGACAGTGGTTTTACTGACGTGGCTTCCTAGTCATAAAAAAATTAAAAAATACTTGAGGACCCACATGTAAGTGGCATTTCTATTCTTCCTCTCCTCCACCACTCTCCTCTCTCCTCCCCCTTCTCTCTCCCCGAACAGAGCACGGCCAGGGGAGGCGCCGGAGGCGCGTGAGGTGTGGGGACTGCCGGAGGATGCGGCGGGCGCACGCCGCGAGGGAGAGGATCCGCTGTCAGCAGCAGTAGATGCAGGTGGTAGCGGTTGCAGCGGGGGAGAGGAGGATGCAGGAGCTAGGACCGAAGCGGAGCTCGAACAAGGACCCGGCACACCAAGGTGGACGCCCGGGGACGGCGGATCCGGATGCCGGTGCTGTGCGTCGCCTGGATCTTCCAGCTGACGTGGGAGCTCGGCCACAAGTCCGACGGTGAGACCGTCCAGTGGCTGCTCCAGCAGGCGGAGCCGGCAATCGTCGCCGCCACGGGGACGGGGACCATACCGGTGTCGGCGCTGACATCCGTCGCACCATGCCGGGGCTAGAGCTAGGACTCTCACAGGACGGCCACATCAGCGTGCTCGCCGCACAGTCGCTCAGCCAGTTCTACCACCAGGTCGGCAGCGCCGATGCCGCCGGTCAACTGCCGCACCCGCACCACCATCACCAACACCATCAGCAGCAGCAGGAGGACGGGGAGGATGAGCGCTACGACGGCGAGTCCGATGAGGAGTCCGGGCAGTAGTAGGCGCATAGCCAATTGTTCATCCATGCATCTCACGTTGTCTCTTTGGAGAAGAAAAATAGAATTCCAGGAAGGACATGCAGCTAATGGAGGGGGGATGCTTTTGTTACTGTTGGGTTGTTCTTCATGAGGTTTTTTATGTCTGATTTGTTCCTCGTGAGGTGTCGAAGCTCGAAAGAGGCTACCACTTGCTCCGGCGACTTGTTGGGATGGATCATGATCATCTTCAGTTGTTACTCCTGCTGCTCCATGGATGGTCGCCAGTTTATCCCCCTCCAAGTGTTTAGGTGAAAGCTTAATCTTTTGCACTCCACAGTCAGCACATGACATGCTCTTCGAAAGGTAGCCTGATGAGCTTATGTATTTTGCTGGAGGTTGGCGGCGCGGATAGACAGCAGGAGGATGTGTTGCCGGCCGAGCAGATCGACGCCGTGGCAGGTGAACCCTCCCCGCGTGGGCGCCGCGGCCGGTGATCCTCTCCCTTGCGGCGTGCGCCCGCATCCTCCGGCGGTCCCCACACCTCCCGCGCCTCCGGCCCCTCTCCTGGCCGTGCTCTGTTTGGGGAGAGAGAAGGGGGAGGAGAGAGGAGAGTGGTGGAGGAGAGGAAGAATAGAAATGCCACTTACATGTGGGCCCTCACATATTTTTAAGTTTTTTTCGATGACTAGGATGCCACGCCAGCAAAACCACTGTCAAAAACCACCAAGGGAGTTGTTTTGTACTGGTTTTAACACTTGGAGGAGGTAATATACCCGGTTTTGTGGTTGAGGGATATAATTCGACAAAGGGGAAGAATTGAGGGAGGCAAAATGGACTTATTCCTTGTCGGTTCGATGTTTTTCTTTTCCCCTCTTTCGAGGGGGCCGCCTATGCATCACTCGGGTGATTTTTGAGATTTTTTCTTTCCTTGGATTTGCATCCAACGGACTACAAAATAAAATAATTAATACAAATTTACTTACACAACATTTTTATCAAAATTACAGTGCACTTACATGTTATATCAACTAAATTTACATATGTAATTTTAGTTATATAGGACTGTAATTTTATATTTGAAATAAAATAACTAATGCAAATTTACTTACACAATATTTTTATCAAAATTACAGTGCACTTACATGTCATATCAACTAAATTTACATATGTAATTTTAGTTATATAAGACTGTAATTTTATATTTGAAATAAAATAACTAATGCAAATTTACTTACACAATATTTTTATCAAAATTATAGTGCACTTACATGTTATATCAACTAAATTTACATATGTAATTTTAGTTATATAAGACTGTAATTTTATATTTTAAAGAAAATAATAAGTACATATTTACTTACACATTATTTTTATCAAAATTACAGTGCACTTACATATCAAATCAACTAAATTTACAAATGTAATTTTAGTTATATATGACTGTAATTTTATATTTTAAAGAAAATAATATGTACATATTTACTTAAACATTATTTTTTATCAAAATTACAGTGCACTTACATGTCAAATCAACTGAATTTACAAATGTAAATTTAGTTATATAGGATTGTAATTTTATATTTCACGACAACGACAAGAGAGACGGTGTCTCTCGTCGATCAGTATTGGCCGTGCTACCGGCGGCTGGCTCGCCGGTCAGAGGCCACTGTGTCATCGTGCTTCTCCGACACGGTGGCCGATGTGCTGGTGTCCGACGCGCCGGCTGACGAGCCTGAAAAAAACGTGAAATGTCAGAAAAAAATCACGCGAGTGATCGTTAGCAAAATCGCTTTCGGGTGAATGGGCTCCGCGAGTGAAATAAATTTAGAAATTGGGCCGTATTGGCCCAATGTGAGATTCATCATAGGCAGACAGGCCGGCCGAGCCGTATTCGGCGCCAAATTCTGGCCCATCCACTGACCAGCAGGGCCAACCCCTCGACAAGTGGGCCGGCACGGCACGGCCCGTTAGTTGTTCCGAGCCCAAACGTGGCTGGGCCAGGACGTAACCGGATCAATTTACATATAGGAAAGAAAAGAAAAAAACCTTAGCGTCCAAAAATCATTGTGCCTCGAGCACTCGAGTATCTCCGCCGTCCTTTCCGCGTCAAAGAAAATCCCCCCGTCTCGTCTCGTCTCGGCCTCCGCCCCTTTCGTCCTCGCCGATCCCCCATCTCGCGAGCACAGCAAGGGTTAGGGTTGGGGCGCCCATCTCCATCTGGCGAGCAGAGGCCGGGGAGGGAGGGGCGCCGTCGTCCTGCTGCATCCTGGTGAGCATCCACATCCTCCCCGACCTAATTTTGTCTCGAATTTGCTTGCGCTAACCCTAGCTTTTTTTTTTTTTGTGGGGGAGTTAACCCTAGCTTCAATTCTAGATCTGGAAGAAGCTCCTCTATTAATTTCAGGGCCTAAACTTTAAAATAACAGTTTGTTTGTTCCCCAAAAGAAGTTTGTGAGGGTTCAACTGAACCCCCATGTCCCAAGTTGGATCCGCCCCTGGTTTGTTTCCAATAAATATATATAATAATAGTAAATTGGGGATTCACTTGAACACCCATGTCCAACATGAGGTCCACCCCTGTGTAGCATTGGACGCTGATTGAGTATTGCAATGTGTAGAGAATTCGAAGGGTGATCCTGTGCTCGGGATAGTGGTTTTCACGCGCTATTGTGTAGTAGCAATATGCGCCATCTACTCGTTATCACCATTTTACCTAGTATATTGCTTCTTGGTAGGCGCATTGGTAGTGATATTGACTGTAGTTTAGGAGATGCGATGTGTTTCTCTTCCAGAACTGACATTGTTTGTATGAGTCACAGTAGAATCGTATTATACTTGCTACTATCCTATTTCTGCTCTGTTGCCATCTACCTGCTGGTTATGTGTTGGCTGCATGTAAGCTACTGATCAAGCTCGTAATGGGTTTATTCTGCGAATTCCAGGCGAGATAGAAGCATGATGGCAAAGACCCTGCAAGGGACTCAACAGCAATATGCAGCAAGTGGATTTCCTACCCAGCAATACCCCACAAGTGGCTGGACACAATCTGCAGCTGAAATTCTTCAGTTGGATAATATGGATCAAGATACATCCGTAGTTCGCAATATTATTCACCGTAAAATGTAAGTTCTTAAACCACCAATATTGGGATTAGCTTTGACTCGCAGATTACTAGTTGCTTTATACTAGCATGCCGTACCAACAAAGTATACACTGTACATATGTTTTCTGCAACTTTAGTTGAACATTTCAAAAACTGCAATGCTACTGGCACGATTTTATCTAAAATCTGTGACTGCTAGTGACCAGTCTGTCTGATAACATCACGTGCTTTTGGTGGCTTGTTGCAACTTAAGTTGTAGCAAACCGATAACTTATTGCAGTTATTATCTCTTGTTCAACTATATCCTGATTCTTTTTTCTTATCCAGTGTAGAGTACCTAAATGAGCGGAAGGAATTCTGCAACTTTGACCTATCCTTTCTTATGGAAATTGGAAAATGTATTGACCGACATCTTTTTGAGAAAGCTGATTCAAAGGTTTGTGTTGTCTCTTGCTGCATTAGAACTATTATAGGATATATGATCACCTATGGTGCTTTAATTTGGTGTGGTTTCTACTCTAATATTGGACAATATTGAACTTATCTACATGCTTTATTGAATAAATACAAAATTCAGCATATTCTTGTAATCCTTAAACAGAATTGTTACTGCTGAACAGTTTGGTGTACTTAGAAGTTGATTATTTGGATTCATTTATCTAAATAGTTCTCAGTCACTTGCTAACATCTGATTCTCTCTCAGATTAAGTATATGGATCTTGAAACTTTAAGAACCAGGTTGAATGCTATCGTCAATTCTGCATCATTTCGGGGTAGTATGTTTCATTGGAGTGCTTCAGCAGCTTCATCCAAACTAAACTCACAACAGCTGCCTGTGATGGAGGTGCCCATCTACCATGATAGAGTTACTCCTGGACCTAATAATCTGCCCTCCTGTGCATATAATGTATCCTCCACTCAGGGTGAGTTGAGATGATGAGTTACCTATTTTAACCTCACAATACACCTTAATTTTTTTAATTCTTTATTGGCTTGATTTTGGCAGGATATAACCAATATGAAAACTGTATGGGTGCTGCTAACTTTGCTCATTCGTTGGCTGATAAACCCAAGCAGATGCCTGAAAGATTAGCAAACACCATTTTTACCTCATGTGCATCAACTCTACCGAAATGTAGCCCTAGTATTGATGTACTGCATATTGGCCATATAAAAGAACATTTCTCAGGTGAGTTTACATCCCCTTTCTTATGTCTGAAACAGAGTTGAGCTGAAGTTATTTGGCATCATAAACACTATGGTCAAATTTTGCCAGGTGATGCGTATCAAAATGATAGTTCACAACCATCAACCTCTGGGAGTTCTAGTTCTTTGTCAGCAGTGTGGGATCAAACAACATGTTCTAGTGCAATGAGAACACTTCCGATGGATTCTTTCTCAACAGTGAACGGACAAAACCTTTCCACAAACAATAAAAGTTTGTATCCCACAACCGGTCAGGGACCTTTGTTGCAACAATACATAGAATGTGAGATGAAGCAAGAGACGTGGAGTCGGTCACTAGAGCAATCAGATCAGTCAAACATTACCACTGGAAACCGTGACTTGTATCATGCTCAAATTCATCCGTACATCAATGGAGAGCACAAACGGGATCGATGCATTCAAATGAAAGAAAAACTTGGGCATACTTCTGATCATGAAGGTTTCTCCAGGGAGAAAAGCTCAAATTTAAGCAACCACTTTATGCATCATCAGCAGGGCTTCATGACTAATTATGGTGCTTGTAGCCCTGTAAGCAAGACAGTGGATAGAGCTGAACAGACATCAAATAGTACTGTATCAAAGCCGACTTCACCTGCTTCAGATGGATCTTCTGGCAAGCATTATCCAGCAAAACGCTTGAAAGTTGATGTTCCCCATCTTGTCCATGTCAATGAAATGGAGGCTTCAAAGGAACAACAACCTGCTGCCAATGAGACTTATGCATCTGCTGAAACAGTACAATCTGAAGTCACTAATTCACCAACAAAATCACCATGTTGTACTTCCTTGGGGGACAACATTGCTTGCACCGATAATGTACATGGAATGGATATGGTCAGATTGTCGGGGAGTGCTGTACAAACTGAAGAAGAATTTCGTCGTGAAAATAGTGACATTGAGATGAAGGATGCAAAGGTTGATTTATTGGACCAAACATTGTCAGGGGACAGCCTGAGGGCAAGGAAGAGAAGAGGGGCCTCAGTACTTTATGCATTAACTTCTGAGGAGCTTAAAGATCACTTGTGTACTCTGAACCATGATACTTCTCAGGTGAGTGAATAACCTGTTGGATCTTGTATGATTTATCTAGTATTGTAAAGCACTTGATTATTATTGGTTGATGTAGTCTAGAGAAATTTTCAAACTGAGCAGCTGCAAAATTAACTAAATATTATGTACTTTCAATTGATTTTCATTTGGTACTAAGATTTTGGGTTTTGTTGTCACTCAAGCTTTCTTGATTATATTGTACAGAGTGTGTGCTTGTTTTAAGCAAAGTTTATATCTCTTAACATGATTAACTTATTTTTTGTAGAGCAAAGTGCCGACTGAAGAGCTGCTATCAGTTGAAGGCTTGCCTGATCAGAACACATGCAATTTATGTGGGATGGAAAGACTCCTCTTTGAGCCCCCTCCACGATTTTGCGCGCTCTGTTTTAAAATAATTAATTCTACAGGATCCTATTATGTTGAAGTGGAAAATGGAAATGACAAATCTTCAATATGTGGCAGATGCCACCATCTTAGTAGTGCCAAAGCCAAATATCAGAAGAGATTCAGCTATGCAGAGACAGATGCTGAGGCAGAATGGGTAACATATGCTTCTCTTATTTCTCTCTAGTCATTTGGAATCATATACGAATTACTCATTTTTTGTTTAATTATGCCTTTTCAGTGGGTCCAGTGCGATAAGTGCAAAGCTTGGCAGCATCAAATCTGCGCACTTTTTAACCCCAAAATCGTGGATCCAGAGGCTGAATATACTTGTGCAAAATGTTTCTTGAAGGAAAAGGATAATGAAGATGTTGATTCACTTGAGCCATCTACTATTCTGGGAGCACGCGAGTTACCAAGAACTAGACTAAGTGATCATATTGAGCAAAGGCTTTCTGAGCGGCTTGTGCAGGAGCGGCAACAGAGGGCAATTGCTTCTGGAAAAAGTGTTGATGAGGTAGTTGTGTTATGCTTTTCTTTTATACCTTGTCCCGTGTACAGAATATGCTGGTGTTGCATTCTGCTACCGTTGAACAGGCTACCTCACTGTTAACCTATTGAACCACAGCCAAAAGTTACATACGTCTTTCCAATTGCATTTTTGTGCTTCTTGCTCTATGTGCTGGATTGAAGGTTACAAGTAACATGTTAGTCCTTATATTATAGTCTTCTAAGTTGACTTAGATAATTCATTACATGAATGCATCTTTACTGTCATACGTTTCTTTTTATTTTTTACAATGTACTGATGGCATTTCACTTAATCATGTTCTTAATACTTCTCTTGGTGCATCTAGCAATGTGTATTTATGGCTTCAGGATTGCAGCTGATTACACATGAATTCATCTTTGGAACACATGTTGATGACCATATATTTGTTGCGTTTCAGTATCCTTTTTAGTGAAACTACTTTTTTCTTCTTTTTCCTTGCATTTTATTGGATTCCGATAAAAGTTGGTTCTGCATATTCATCTGATTTAGCTGACCAAGATGTCATATTACAATTCATGGTCAAACTTGGAACATAAACTTGTGGATGCTTTGCTTAGTCTTATCTGATCATCTATGCTGATCTTAATGTTATTTTTCTGCCTCTAGGATTTTTATTACACTGTAATATACTGGAGAAACTTATTGGGCGAACTTTTATGGTCCAATTATTAGGTACCAGGAGTTGAAGGTCTTACTGTTAGAGTGGTATCTTCAGCTGATAGAACACTGCAAGTCCAACCACGTTTCAAGGATTTTTTTAAAAAAGAACAATATCCTGGGGAATTTCCGTACAAATCAAAGGTGATTATGTGATACTTATACTTTACTAATGCTATTATTATAACATCCATTTAAATTATGCTTTCATTATTTAGTGGATAATGTGGGTTACCATTTCCGTGTTTTGTGCTTGTGCAGGCCATTCTCTTGTTTCAAAAGAATGAAGGTGTAGATGTATGCCTGTTCGCCATGTATGTGCAAGAGTATGGTTCAGCCTGCCCATCACCAAATCAAAGGCACGTTTATCTTGCATATATTGATTCTGTCAAGTACTTCAGACCGGAAATCAAGTCGGCCAGTGGAGAAGCTCTCCGTACCTTTGTGTATCATGAAATTTTGGTATGAGAATGCATAATCATTAAACACTTAGTGTTCTTGATCTTGATTTCAGTTTATGGATCTCATGTTGGTCTGATTATCTTCCAATCTGTTTTCCCCCAGATTGGCTACTTGGATTTCTGCAAGAAACGAGGGTTTGTAAGCTGTTCCATATGGACTTGCCCATCTACAAAGCGTGACGATTATGTTTTATATTGTCATCCTACAATACAGAAGATGCCAAAGTCTGACAAGCTTCGGAGCTGGTTGGTCTTCATCATCTTTTACAGTCAATCCTAAAATTATTTATGGGCCTTCATTTGATAATCTTTTCAATATATTTAGGTACCAGAATTTGGTAAAGAAGGCTGTTAAGGAGGGGGTAGTTGTGGAACGGAATACACTCTATGACTTCTTCCTTCAGCCCACCAATGAATGCAAGACCAATATCTCAGCTGCATGGTTGCCATACTGTGATAATGATTTCTGGCCTGGGGAAGCAGAGAGGCTCCTTGAAAAGAAAGATGATGACACCTCACAGAAGAAAGAAACTCAACTAGGAAGGCTTCTACGGGTTGCCAAACGTGATGACCGGAAAGGAAACCTCGAGGATATTTTACTTGTGCATAAGGTTGGTTGTTTAAATCATGGTGCTCCCTTTCTTCAGAATTTTTTTTCGCCGGGCCTTCTTCAGTATTTTAGGCACTTGACCCCTTAATTTTCATTGTTGGCAGCTTGGAGAAAGGTTGCGAACCATGAAAGAAGATTTTTTAATGCTTTGTCTGCAGCAATTTTGCAAGCATTGCCACCATCCTATTGTATCTGGTAGTAGTTGGGTTTGCACCAGCTGCAAAAACTTCTTTCTTTGTGAACGGTAAGCATTCAGTCATGTAAACTTTTGTGACCATATAGAATGCATTTCCCATACTGAAGAACTTTCTGGAACAGCACTAGGGGAAATGTCTGCTGTTGGTAAAAATATATAATTGCACATGGCACTTGCATAGTTCAACCATTCTAGCTTATACAGTGACCGTTTGCCTGTCAAATTGCAAAATGAATCTACATTCCTACTCTTTTGTTGTTATTCAATTACTCTTTGTCGTTAAGGCACCCATTATTTATGATGCCATTCTTATTTGTCCTCGTAGTTGTTATGCTGAGGAGCTGAATACCCCTCTGAAGGACAGGCACCCAGCTACAACAAAACAAAAGCATGCATTTGAAAGAGTACGTATATGAATTCATCTATTTAAGGTAGCTACAATCTGCCTGCATGGAAATACTAACCAGATTACTAATCTCCTCTGACAGATAGAGGAAGAACCTCTTCCAGAAACGGATGATGTAGATCCAACAATGGAAAGCAAGTACTTTGACAGCAGAATAGATTTCCTGAAGCATTGTCAAGACAATCAATACCAGTTTGATACTCTCCGGAGGGCAAAACATTCCACAATGATGATTCTTTATCATCTACATGATTCAACTTGTTCTTCTTGTCACCGTGCCATGGATCAATGCTTGGCATGGCGGTGCTTGGTTTGCCTAGGCTGCAACTTTTGTGATTCATGCTATAAACAAGACGGTGAAAGTTTGCATATTCATAAGTTGAGGCAGAAAAAAGACCATCACGTATTGCAGAAGTACACTCTACAGGTATCCTTAAATTGGTAGCTGAATCTTTTTCATCTCCTATTTGTGTTTTTCATGAATGTTTATTATGCACTCGAAATTAACATCTTCTGATTTTTTGGGAACAACTCTGGGGATCTGATTTTTTTTTGGTTGTTTGCTCTTCGCATGATTATATTTGGCATAAACTGTAGAATATAAGTGAGTTGCACTATTATTATTTGTTCCATAATTTTATCCTTTTGGTTTAATCTTGAGCATATGTGTGAAGTGTATGCTTCACTATTCTTATGTGTTGCTTCATGTTATGTTTTGTCCCAGTATTTTGTGACTGCATATCCAAATTTTCAATCAGGATGAAAAATATTCTATGAGCTTTTAGATTCTAATGTGGTAATTATGTGGTTTCATCCCAAATATTATTTTCTGCTAGTGATATTTACGGTGCCTCTTGCTAATGAATTGGATGCTTTCAAAGCAGGACTACCTTGAAGGCTTGGTGCATGCATCAAGATGTTTTGATCGAAGTTGCACTTCCAAACTTTGTTTGACGTTAAAGAAACTGTTCTTCCATGGTGTACGATGTCATACCCGTGCCCGTGGTGGAGGAGGTTGCCATATGTGTGTATTCATGTGGAAACTGCTGTTCACGCACTCACTGCTTTGTGACAATGCAGACTGTTCAGCTCCCAGATGCAGGTAAAGTGTGCATCACCCGCAATATTGATCTGCCTTCCGGAGTTGTGAAATAATTTTCACAATTTTATTTTTTCCAATTGGCTTGTTAATTATCTTTTTCCCTTTTAAATCTTTTCAGGGATATAAAGGCATATATTGCTGACAGAAGCATGACAGACCTTAGTATATCTGGATGAGCTTCATGTGAACTTGTAGAAGTTTTGTTAGACAATACAATTTGTTGCTAGAGATGCAATAAGCTGGTGTTGACCATAGTAAGTGGCACAGTAGTGGCAATAGCAGCATAGTTTCGCTGGTTTCCCCAGTATTTGCATGAAGGCATGCAGATGGTGGTGGTTTGGGGATCAACTTTATCCTCGTATTTTCTTGAATCGCCTATTTCGACTTTCGATGGAGGCATAGCAAAAACCTTACGTAGGCAATCTGACATGTTCCCGTAAATACCTGTATAGTTCCTTATTATAGCTAGATTAATAGGATAGAGGATTTTCATTCCTTTTTATTATTCCTTTTCTTGATTGTATTGAACAAAGGCACATTTTGTTCAGTGTTTCTGTGCCGTGGCAAAAGTCCAAATTCAATGAATGTGTATATTTACTCCCTTGTCGATCGACATGTCTTAGTTTATGAGACCAATCTCTGACTGTATCTATACACTGACCTTTATAGAACCGGATATTTTCCTGATAAAAATGACCCTGTAAATCTGTAAAAATGGAGGCAAGCTAATCGAAGGGTGCAAACGTGCAATCCTTAAATTCGAATTTCACTCGCAACACCACCGTCTACGATTATATTGAAGTCGAATTAAGAGCACCCACCCCCCCCAAACACGCGAGACCACACGGAGGAGCTCCCTCGAACGTCGGCAACCCGACGCTGCTCACGTCGACGACGTACGTTCGCGAACGACGGCGTCCGGCGGTGGCTTTGGCCATGGACGATCTCCGAGTCGGACCACAGACGATGATCTCCACGTACGATGCTGCACCTCCTCCCCTGTCCCGCTCGGTGTGTACTCCCCTGTCCCGCTCGGTGTGTACTCCTCGATCCCGGCCTTTGTCCACGAGGACGGGACGTACGTCGCGGTAGCCATAGCTCATCGGCGCGCACGGTGAGGGCGATGCGCGTGGGAGGGAGCCCCAGCGCGCGTGTTAATTACCTTCACGTAGCGATGCCGAGGGAGAGTTCGCCTCACGAGTCGAGGAGCCTGTGTGCACCTCCTGCGTCGCCGTCGTCGCTGCCTCATCAGGATCTGAAACCGCGTATTATACCAGCCAGAGCCAGGTTGGTCCGGCTCGGGTGAAAACGCTTGGGCGTGGCCGCGTCGTGAGCGGCTGAGAAGGCACGGTTTGTGCCGGGATGTCCTTTTTTTTTTTTCTAGCCCAAAAGGCTCAGCCTAACTTGTCTGCACCTGGAAAATGTGTCCATGTTTTCGTGTATGCGAGTTTACAGAGCGATTCGTTCGCACGGGCCGGTGTACTAGCTAAAAAGCGTGCTTGTGTGGCTGCGCGGCGATTGTTGTACGGTAAAAGCACACAGCGGCTTCCAGACGCCGGTACGCCGGCCGCGCGCGGCCCAACCTCGTAACGGTTTTCCCCCTCAAAACATGCCAGCCAAGCGACCGTAAGAGCAGGTACAATAGCATGCTATAAGCCAGCTGCAAATATATTTTAAACAGATAAATGAGCAGAGAGAAGAGCAGCGGGCTACAGATTTATAGCCAGCTATAGCACGGACTCCAAGACGCAGTGTGTGTATGACAGGTGGGGCCAGGTATTATTAGTGTAGTATGTAACTATTGTATGAATAAGCTATTAGATTCCCCGAAAAAAAAGCTATTAGATTGACTATAAATGAATTAAAGCTAGTAGTTGGCTATACTATTAAACTTGCTCAAAACCAAAAGTCCCTGATCTCAAATTTAGCCCCTCTCTCCCAAACACCCCTTAAATGACCTAGCGTGACAAACATTTTATGATCTCCGGATATAAAATAAACCACCTCATATTTTAATTTGTGCCATGATAGGTCGCATCAAGCCAAAAAAAAACCCTGAACACCGTCGTTTAAGGAACACATACAACTTTTGTTTTAGGATCACCGAAACAATAGTTGACAAAGACTGATGCTCTATTTGTTTCAGCTTAGAATTATTATAATTATTAGTTGATACCCCGCGTTTTGTTGCGGGATATGTGGATTAATGCATGTATATATGATTTACGGTTTTGCTAGCTAACTGTCGATAGTTTTCAATCCTGAAAACTGTCAATTTTTTGGTCGTTGATTCCGCGCTAAGATTTGTGCTGAGATATTTTGCTATCAGATCTAAACCCTCTTTTTCACAAGCTAGTCTCATCATCACATGTTTATGGCAGATTTGTTCAAGTTACATCTAAGTTACATTCTAGTTACATGCTAACTACATTGTAGTTATACTATTGTTATATACTTATATTGTAAGTATAGTGTAACTACACTATAACTAAATTGTTATCTCTATATAAGATATAAAGTTGCATATATTGTTTTAATACATATATACAAGTTATTATTATTATAGTATAGTTCTAATGAAATTATATAATGTAGTTAGATTCGAAAGTTTTTCCTAAAAAATACTCGACAGCTTTTTAGCTAATCCCATGATTTATGGAGTGAAATGGTAGATGTATATGTTTCAATAATGTAAAAATGGTGTAGAGATATATAACGATTTAATATTGCTTGCATATTGAGTTCTAAAAATACAACAAAATTATAATTGATATGTCATGTTTGCATGATATTTAAAATACTCTAAATAATAATTGCTAATGGGTGATGATATGGTACACTTGCATGTGATTTAAAATACTCTAGATAATAATTGCTAGTGGATGATGACGTGGAACAGTTACATGTTAAGCTTTAGTAGTTAGTGGACATCAACTATATAATAAGATAGGATTTGGATTATTAGTAATAATATGAAGCAAATAAGTGGATTATTATGATAGATTATTATAATTTATAAACCAGATTAGTATAATCTGGTAGTCTCATCTAAACGTTTTTTTTTCATATTATTGTCCGGCTAAAGACCCACTACCCTTAAAAATTTTATGCAAATTATCCACCACTACCATCGAACCTATCAGGTTGAGCGCATCCGCTTCCTCTCTCTCCAGTCGCGCGCGAATCTCCCTCGGCCGCACGTGCATCTGCTTTCTCTCTCCCTAGTCGCGTGCAAATCCTTCCCTAAGCTCCCACCCTACACTCCGGCTCCTTCCCAAGCCATGCCGCCGCCGTCTCTCATCCTCCTCCCACTCCGCAATAGCTTAGGGTATTATAGACATTAGCTTTTCAAACCCAATAATCTAGAGAAAAAACTCATAACTTATTATAATCCAGCTTATAGTAATCTGGTTTATATTAGATTACAATAACCTAGTGAAACCTTGAGTTGAAACAAACAAAGCTTAAGATCCACGAGAAAAAAACAAGAAGAAACACATGCCCAAAGATCCACCCCATAAGAACAATGAGAAACACAGCGCCCCCCACAAACACGCAGGACGACGACGACGGCATGCAACTGCGGCGGCGAACGTCGTCGTCGACAACGACGATCCGACGATGCCCACGTCGTCGACGTTCGCGAACCACGTCGTGCGGCGGCCTGGGAATCGATCTCCGGTAGAGCTCGACGATCTCGTCTATCAGCGCCCGGACCTCCTCCCTGTCCTGCACGGTGTACTCCTCCCAGCTCTCCATCCCAGCCTCGAGGACGCGGTGGTAGTAGGAGGATTGCAGTTCCTTCGCTCGAATGACGAGAGAGCGATGGGAGCCCAGGCGTGTGAATTTTAAGTACCTACCCTGGCATATCGAGTAGAGGCCGCAGTTTTCTCTCAGGAGTAGCCTGGTTCTTCTGCCTATTCGCCGTTTCGTGTCGATCTGAACCGAGTACCACCACGGCAGCCGCCGTCTCCTCCGCTTGGGGCGATTTGCTTGTCTTTCCTGTAACTCGTTTTCATGTTGCCCCTCCATGCGATGAGTTTAATTTGGTCCTAGATGCATGTCATTATGTTGTGTATATATATAGTTTGGGAATATCAAGCGAAAGAGAGAGAGAGAATAGTAAAAGAAAAGCAGAAAAGAAATTTGACAACCTCTCTCACCTGCAGATTTTCGCCTGTATAGTATATTGATGAGAATACGGTACGTCCTGTCCGGGGAACACGTCGAGAACACACGGAAAGATCGATGAACCAAATAAGCGACTCTCCCATCCGAGATACCGTGTGTTGACTCTAATCGCATTCTACTAGGATTAGGATTAGAAATATACGTACTAGCAATAGAGTTTTGATTTTATCATGAATACTTGTACCCCTCCATTTCAGATTATAAGATATTTTGACTTTGGTCAAAGTTAAAATGCTTTAAGTTTGACTAAGTTTATAAACAAATATAGTAATATTTACATTATCAAATTAGTTTAATTAAATTAATAATTCAATATATTTTTATAATAAATTTATCTTGGGTAAAAAATATTACTATTTTTTTTCTATAACTTGGTCAAACTCGAAGTAAAGTCAAAACATCTTATAACCTGAAACGGAGGGAGTAAACATTAAATTGAAATTCCACTTGTATAATTGAACAAGGTTAAACCATTGAGATCGTCGGAAACTGTCAAGCAACGAGCAGCAAGCAGCAACCCCGCCCGCCCAAAACCGGATAAATACCAAACTGAAACTGAGACCGAATTTACCATTCCTGATATTTTTATGTTGAAATTCAGTCTTCACTTTTCAATGACCGAATTAATCGAAAAACCGAATACCAATCGAGACCTAAGTTTCCACCCCTACTTCTCACGCTTCATCTTCATCATCTTCTTCTCCCCCGACCTCGGTGGTGCCTTCGGCTGCTGCCTTCAGCGTGGAAGACAGAGCCTCCAGGGCCGCAGCGGCTGGGTGGGGATTGCGTCGTCGTGCACGCAGGGCTGGGGGCGTGCTAGGATGCATGTTCGGTGGGGCTGGGGGTGGCGACAGAAAAACGGCGTGGAAGAGGTATGCCGACACCGTGGCGCGTAACAACTCCATGGAACCCGAGGTCTCCACGCTCTCGGACACCGGCCTCCACGCCCGCACCGCCAAGCTGCAAGAGCACACGTGCCGAGGAGTCCCTCGATTCCCTCCTGCCCGGAGCTCTTCACCCTCATGGAGAAGGGAGGGAAGAAGGGGAGAGAGGGAGAGAGAGAGGAGGGAGAAGAGTTGGCCGCTGACATGTGAGACCCACGTGGATTCCACCCACCACGTCAGCTAAAACCGGCCATTATACTACCAAGGAACCAAAGTTAACATTGTACTGTGAGTTGGGGAATGAGCTATACTTCAGTGTTTTTGTCTAGGGATAAATATTAGACTCGACAATAAATTGAGGGACCCTAAGTGAACTTATTGGTTACACCTTTATGCGATATGGCCCAGGCAGCCTGGCCCAGCCAGCTATGGCATCGTCTTCCTCGCAGGCGCCCCCCTCATAAGGAATAAGTTCACCAGAGATCCCTCAACTTAACATCGAGATTTTTCAAGGTCCCTTAACCACAAAACCAGAAATCTCCACCCCTAAACTATACAAAACCGTTCACTCAAGGTCCCTAGGTAGTATATATGGGTGGTTTCGCTGACGTGGCATTCTAGTCAGAAAAAAAAATTAAATAAAGCACGTGGAGCCCACATGTCAGCTGCATATCTTATTTTCATCTCTTTTCTTCTCCTTTCTCTCTTCTCTCTTCTCTTCTCCCTCCTGCTGCTGCTGCTGCTGCTCCCATCCCTGCCCCGGCTGCGGTACACGAGATCCGCCGCCACCGCCGGAGTCCTCGTCGTTGTTGCCGGCTGGAGAGTGTGCCGTAATGTTGGGGGAGGTCGCGCCGGGCTCCTCGTCCTCCTCGCTGCAGCTGCCCCCCTCCCCCCCCGCCCCCGCACCGTCGTCGTCTCCCCCGCTGGCGCCGGCCAGTTCACGTCGATCCCCCGCAGGAATGGCATCTCGACGTCGAGGCACGCCATCATCGCCGTCCTCCCCCGACCTTCGTAAGATCCATGCATGAAATTGAGACGCCAAGATTGCAGCATGCATGCACGCACAACATCGACGTAGTCCGTCCATCTATACTCACCGGAGGAGGAAGAGGAGGAGAAGAGGCCGGCGCCGCTGTTCCAGCCGCACAATTGCTGCGTCTGTGGGGCGGCACCACGGGAAGGCTCGGGTGAACCCAAGCCTGGGAAGCGCGTGCAGGTGAGGTCCCACGCCAGGTCGACGCGGCGGTCGCCGGCGGCGCGGAACCGCCTCGTCCCGCGCTGCCGCCAGAGGAGTCAGGGACGGACGCGGAAGGCCAAGTGTCTCCTCGTCGGGTGTGGGTGCTGGTCCACGAGGGCGTGGTTCCTGGAGTCCGGCGCTGAGCACGACATTGTTGTCACACTGGACGGCGAGGTGGAGGCATCAATGCTGCTGCTGCTTTTCGCTCAATCAGATGATTCGATCACATTCACTGCTACTTTCCGTAAAAAAAAACATTCACTGCTACTCGAGATCAAGACTTGGTACTACTCATCGATTAATTAACTTGTACTCAAGACACTGATACTGATCAATCAATCAATCAGTGGTTAGTGCTCGTCCGATATAGAAAGGCAAAAGACGCAGGCAAGAACGAGGAGAGGACGGACAGGAGGTTGCATAGCCATCAGAAAAGGAAAAGAGACGGGAGAGAGAGAGAGAGATCACGGTGATGGTCGGAGATGCGGAGGATAGCGACGGCGAGAGGGTGCGGCTGTTCGTCGGCCAGGTGCCCTGCAGCATGGCGGAGGAGGAGATCCTCGCCGTCGAGGCGGTCACGGCGTCGTGCACGGCGAAGGACAACGCCGTCCCGTCGGGAGGAAGATGGCTGGGCCCCGCGGGGACGGACGCTGCCGTCACGGACGGCGCGCAGCGGAAGCACGCCGCCATCGCCGCTCCGCCCGCCGCCGGCCTCCTCACTGAATAAGGGAAGAGGGAAGAGAGAAAAAGGAAGAGAAGGAGAAGAAAAAAACGTGCAGCTGGCATGTGGGTCCCATGTACTTTTTTTAAAAAAATTGCTAACTAGTGCCACGTCCTATATATACTGCCTACGGACTTTGACTGAACGGTCGTTTTGTATAGTTTAGGAGTCAAGATTTCTGATTTTATGGTTAAGGGAACTCAAAAAATCTCGCTGTTAAGTTGAGGGACCTCCAGTGAACTTATTCCCCCTCACAATCGCCACCGATTCGGCAATTCTTACAGTCCGCCGGCGACTGCGGATGGGATATGGTATCCAGTTCGTCGGCAGCCACCAGATGTGGGCCCCGACGGGTAGATTTGGATTCGCTAGTAATAATTTTTACCTTTTATCCACCTTCGAGAGTTCGAGTTACTGCTACTGATTAGAGTAATTAAGTGAGTATACTAATGTATGACATTTAGATTACTGCAAAAATTGATACATCGGTGCGGTTTGGTGAATCCTCCTCGATCAACAGCTTTGCAATATACATCGGTGCCGAGTAATGCTCTAGTTTTAAACCATTTTTTCCCCAAAAAACATGAGATTAACGAATAATTACCGTCAGATCTTATAACCACATGGCTTAGAACATGTACAAAGGTAGAGACTAATATGAGTTCTCTATATTAATTAATATCACTAGAGACTATCCTTCTATAATAATAGAGATAATAAGATTTCTAAACCATTAATACACTAAATATTTTTTTATTATACTTCTTTCCTTTTCTATACCCTCATGCAACAAACTTTCTGTTAATAAATGCAAAGAGTCGACTCTGAGCCGTTGTCATGCGTAGCAACGATGTTTCTCATTCCTTCCTTCTCTTTCTTCCACGTCACCAAATTTACTTACATGACAACGAAAAGAGCCTGTTATTAAACACCACTGTACATCCCTTAGTGAAAAAAAAATCACCGCACTGTAGGGAGGTTAGATGGTGATAACCGTAACTAACCGGCTTGTTCAGCAAGCCAATGTGCCAAACACCGGGATGCGATTAGAACTTTCTCGCCCCTCTGGGCTCTGTCTCCGTTAAAGCGGCAAACTAATCGACGGGAGCAGCCCATTTCCAGTTCATCCCACCCCTCCCATCGCCGCCACCGACCACTCCAACGCCGCCGCCGCCGCCGCCGCTTCGGAAGTTCGGAGCAGCAAGAGACGCATGGAGCATAGCCCGCACCTGTTCGACGGCGCGGCGCCCAAGTTCCGGCGGGACGAGAGGATGGCGGCGCCGCCGCGGGAGGCCACGTGGGTGATCCTGGCCTGCGTCCCGAGCGTGTCCTCTTCCGACGGCGACTTCGAGGCCGGCGACCACCTCGCCTTCGACTGGCGCGACCCGCCGGGCGTTTCCCTCCTTACCTTGCGCCAGAGCGACTCTGTCTTTGTCTCCCCCGCGCCTCGGGATTTCTGCCCCGACCGCGACGACCACCCCTACGTCGTCGCCGTCGACTCCGCCGGCGGACTCCTGCTCCGCGGCGCCAGGAGGAGCGCCCACGATTTCGGCCCCGGCGTCGCGCTCGGATTCGACCCTGCACCGAGCTGCGCCAACGACGGCGGCTACATCCTCTGCCACGCTACGCTCCGCATGGCCTACCTCTACCCGCCCTGCTCCGACGAGTACCGGCTCCTCTACGCCGGGAACGTCGGCATGATCCGCAGAACGGCAGCGGATGGCGACCACCCGATCCGCTTGTTGGCCGAGCTCCAGATAGAGTCCGGCAATGGCATCCACCGTGCCACCCTACTACGCTACTCCCAGGAGCTCGGACTCGGAGGGTGGGCTTCAACGAAGGTCAACTACCCGCCAGGCCGCCGGTCGTGGTGCGGCGACGGCGTCATCGTCCACGCCGGGATGCTCTGGTGGGTGGACCTCTCCTTCGGCCTCCTCACCTGCGACGCGTTCGCCGCGAAGCCAGACATGCGCTTCGTGCCGCTCCCTGAGGGATGCAAGCTACCGTACTCCAGCGACGCGGACCACGCCAAGCACCGGTGCGTGAACGTGAGCGACGGCGAGCTGGCGTTCGTGCAGATCCACGACTACGACACCGCCGCCGGCCGCGGCGCGCCATCGACGATCATGATCAGCATGTGGACGCTGCAGCAGTCTGATGCGGGGGAGGAGTCGGTTTGGTCGCTCCGCCACCGGGTGCGCGTCGACGAGATCTGGGACCACGTGACATACCGGAAGACCATGATGCCGCGGCGCGTTCCGGTGCTCGCGCTCCTCCACCCCAAGGAGCTCGGCGTGGTGTTCTTCTTCCAGATCACCTCGCGGAACTCGTGGATGTTCGCCGTCGACCTGGTCACCAGAATCGTGCTCGAGTGCAAGAAGTACAAGATGCCCCAGCTGCCGACGATGTACCACTCCTCTCGCCACGTCCGCGCTTGGGAGCTGCCACATTCGATCTGCCGCGGAGAGGATGATGAGACAGATGGTACGTACGCTGCGCTGTTCTTCACTTCTTTGCTCTATCTCATCGCTGCATGCTGATGTGCTTTGTCCATTTGTGCTATTCATGTTTGAGTTATTTTGATGCTGGGCATGGTCTGCACATCTCATTTGGCCGGTTCATGATTAATCCTGCCATCCTGCACACCAGAGGGTGCATCTAATCTAGCAGATACAGATTTGCACTGTATAGTTCTTTTGACATTGTAAATTAATGGGAATCGATCAAGGACTATATGTGAATTTGCATGTTTAGTACCTTCTACATTTTAGTAGTTACAATGTTGTAATGCTGTATTTTGATCATGTATCTGTATGTCATTTAACACTACGGAATACTGATAGAATATATTCCATAACAGCAACTTCGTTTGTTTGTATTAATGACCCTGAAGTCTGAAAATCACTGAGTATAATATAGACATATATTTACTAGTGCAAGTACTGTTGCAATTTAGCTTCTGGAAAAAAAATACATAAGCTAAGTTCCTATCAAGTTATTGAACAGAGGTTTACCATTTTATGACTAACTAGAATTGCTTGTGTTAATTTGCAGAATCTGACGGATGAGCTCGACTTGAACTTTTCGAGAGACAAAGCTGATGAACTGCTGTCAACCACTGGAAGGCTCTTCATCAATCCTAGGTTCCAGGAACTGAGGAATGCCACTGCTTTTCCTAAGTGAGCCTCTTTCCATCCTCTTTAGATCGCCGACCACTCCAATTCACATGCACTCGCATACAAGAGAGAATTTTCTTCACTGAACCTCATGTGTGTGTTTTCTTCTTTTTCATTCATCAGGTACTTGTCATTTGTCATTGTCAAGGCTACCGACGCATATGAGGCATCGTGTCTGATGCGAGACTTCGTGTCACATGTCTCCATGGACGGTTCAAACATAGTTCCTAGAGTTTCAGGTGAAAGTATTGTATGAATAGTTCAGTGTTGAGTTTCAGATGAAAGTTTTGTTTGGAAATCTTGTTTCTTCTCCCTGCTTCCTCTGTTTGACATATCCGGGGCACTAGGCAGTTCAGAAACCAAACGCCCTGACTGATGCTGCGTAGTGTCTTTAATTAGATATCTGGCTTAACTCTCTGCTATCTTGGACAACCAGTGTTTGTTAACTGATGGATGGCTGACGACATTGTTCGTGATGGTACGCTGAGTTCTAGTTCTCGCATATTTGATGGGTGATTGTTTAGATTTCCTAACTGGTATGCGGTTGAGAAATTTTATGATATGTGAATTCATATTTTTACTATATATCACTGCCATACTTCCGTACAGAGTTTTAATACTATGTATCAGTGAATGTATGTTCAGGCTAACTCGTTTAGTTTGCTCCTGTTCCTCCGTTTGCTGAACCTGCTAGAACCATACGAATACGATGACGATTAGTATTGTACAGAACAATTAGGAGACTATTAGTTACTATCTCAGTTACAATTACAGAACGTCTGAACCACGGTTTTGAGCAGCCGCAGAATAATTCTAGCAAACTTTTGGCCCACCGTTTCATATTATAAACCGTTTAACTTTTTTTCCTAATCAAACTTTGTTAAGTTTGATAAAGCTTATAGAAAAAATTATCAGCATCTAAAATATAAATTAGTTTTATTAATTCTAACGTTGAATCAATTTTGATAATATGTTTGTTTTGTGTTGAAAATACACAAGTGTGAGGATTATTCCAACAATAAGCTGGTAATTAGTAATCCGTACAGATTGAAAGGCTACAGCGCTGCATGCATGCTTGCTCCTTTCATATGATCTTGAATATTCATACTCTGATTCATAAAACTGCATGCTAGACAGTTATCGCTGTCTAATAAGTAATAATGCAAGTGCAAAAGTATTCAAAGATCCATCTAAAAAAAAGGACGAAGTGCGAGGGACTTTTAGTACTATGATTGTGTACTGATGCTAGCACCAAGGCTGGTTTATTTCATCATGGAAACATCAACTGCATGTAGAGCATATCCTCATTTAGTTGGTGTTAGTGGCTACCATAGTTATGAAGTCTGAAAATTAGCGAATGTAATATGTACTGGTGCAACCGTATAATAGAATTAATGTACTGTTGCAACTTGCAACTGCTGGGGGTTTGAAGCTTGATTTCACGTGACAAATATAGCATTTACCTGATTTGGGTTTTTGTTAACATTTTTACAGATGACTAGTTCCTCGCAAACTATCAAATACTATAAATTAGCACCCTTTTTTTATCAACTAGCATTGCTTGTGTTAGCTTGCAGGATCAAATAAGATCGACTGTTTGAACTTTCTGTATGACAAATTGATGAAATATTGTCATAAACCACGTGTTTATGACAAACAGTTCATCGATTAATGTCTTGTTCACGGCATTCCTCAACTGTGTGTGCTGGCTGATGCGTGCTAAATCTCATATAAGATGGGGATTTGTTCGAGGTTAGAGAACCTGATTAGTGATAAACCGATAACTTGGGGCAGCCGTCCAAGCCTATTGTTACAGAGTACTACTGCTGATGGTGAGCCTGAAAAACACGGTAGTACAGTACCAACGTCTCTATTTGGAGCGGAGGCAAATGTAGCAGCCGCACAAGACGCTTGGCCTCTTCCACGGCTTGCGCGCTGCCGCGGCGCGATGTAGCGGCCGGAACGCGCGCACGGCCACTTCCGATGATTCGTTCGCGTGGGAGTAGTACTGGTACTAGTGTGCCGTGTGCCCGTGCGGCTGTGAATCGCGATCGGTGGGAAGTGCACGCGCGGTGGCTTAGCTTCACTCCATTTTTTGCCATACACGGACCGCACCACATCGTCCGTCACAAACGGCATCTGCCAACTGGCGGCCTGGCGCACCGTGCAATCTCCGGCCGCGACAAGTCGAGCATAGGAAACAAGGCAACAAGCGTAACATTCTTTTTTCTTCTCTGAAAGACTGAAACTAATCCATGGTCCCAAACAAGCGTACAATGGACTACCACGATACATCGGTGCGGTTTGGTTTGGTGAATCCTCCTCGATCCACAGCTTTGCAATGCTCTAGTTTTTAATAACCTTTTTGTCTAAAAAAAACATGAGATTAACGAAAAATTACCGTCAGAGCTTATAACCACATGGATTAGTGAAAAAAAATCACCGCACTGTAGGTGGTTAGATGGTGATAACCGTAACTAACCGGCTTGGTCAGCAAGCCAAAGTGCCAATTGCCAAACACCGGGATGCGATTAGAATTTAGAACCTTCTCGCCCCTCCGGGTTCTGGCTCCGTTAAAGCGGCAAACCAATCGAGGGGAGCAGCCCATTTCCAGTTCATCCCACCCCGCCCATCGCCGCCACCGACCACTCCAACGCCGCCGCCGCCGCCGCCGCTTCGGAAGTTCGGAGCAGCAAGAGACGCATGGAGCATAGCCCGCACCTGTTCGACGGCGCGGCGCCCAAGTTCCGGCGGGACGAGAGGATGGCGGCGCCGCCGCGGGAGGCCACGTGGGTGATCCTGGCCTGCGTCCCGAGCGTGTCCTCTTCCGACAGCGACTTCGAGGCCGGCGACCACCTTGCCTTCGACTGGCGCGACCCGCCGGGCGTCTCCCTCCTCACCTTGCGCCAGAGCGACTCTGTCCCTGTCTCCCCCGCGCCTCGGGATTTCTGCCCCGACCGCGACGACCACCCCTACGTCGTCGCCGTCGACTCCGCCGGCGGACTCCTGCTCCGCGGCGCCAGGAGGAGCGCCCACGATTTCGGCCCCGGCGTCGCGCTCGGATTCGACCCTGCACCGAGCTGCACCAACGACGGCGGCTACATCCTCTGCCACGCTACGCTCCGCATGGCCTACCTCTACCCGCCCTGCTCCGACGAGTACCGGCTCCTCTGCGCCGGGAACGTCGGCATGATCCGCAGAACGGCGGATCGCGACCACCCGATCCGCTTGTTGGCCGAGCTCCAGATAGAGTCCGGCAATGGCATCCACCGCGCCACCCTACTACGCTACTCCCATGAGCTCGGAGGGTGGGCTTCAACAAAGGTCAACTACCCGCCAGGCCGCCGGTCGTGGTGCGGCGACGGCGTCATCGTCCACGCCGGGATGCTCTGGTGGGTGGACCTCTCCTTCGGCCTCCTCACCTGCGACGTGTTCGCCGCGAAGCCAGACATGCGCTTCGTGCCGCTCCCTGAGGGATGCAAGCTACCGTACTCCAGCGACGCGGACCACGCCAAGCACCGGTGCGTGAACGTGAGCGACGGCGAGCTGGCGTTCGTGCAGATCCACGACTACGACACCGCCGCCGGCCGCGGCGCGCCATCGACGATCATGATCAGCATGTGGACGCTGCAGCAGTCTGATGCGGGGGAGGAGTCGGTTTGGTCGCTCCGCCACCGGGTGCGCGTCGACGAGATCTGGGACCACGTGACATACCGGAAGACCATGATGCCGCGGCGCGTTCCGGTGCTCGCGCTCCTCCACCCCAAGGAGCTCGGCGTGGTGTTCTTCTTCCAGATCACCTCGCGGAACTCGTGGATGTTCGCCGTCGACCTGGTCACCAGAATCGTGCTCGAGTGCAAGAAGTACAAGATGCCCCAGCTGCCGACGATGTACCACTCCTCTCGCCACGTCCGCGCTTGGGAGCTGCCACATTCGATCTGCCGCGGAGAGGATGATGAGACAGATGGTACGTACGCTGCGCTGTTCTTCACTTCTTTGCTCTGTCTCATCGCTGCATGCTGATGTGCTTTGTCCATTTGTGCTATTCATGTTTGAGTTATTTTGATGCTGGGCATGGTCTGCACATCTCATTTGGCCGGTTCATGATTAATCCTGCACACCAGAGGGTGCATCTAATCTAGCAGATACAGATTTGCACTGTATAGTTCTTTTGACATTGTAAATTAATGGGAATCGATCAAGGACTATATGTGAATTTGCATGTTTAGTACCTTCTACATTTTAGTAGTTACAATGTTGTAGTAATGCTGTATGTTGGCCATGTATCTGTATGTCATTTAACACTACGGAATACTTATAGAATATATTCCATAACAGCAACTTCGTTTGTTTGTATTAATGACCCTGAAGTCTGAAAATCACTGAGTATAATATAGACATATATTTACTGGTGCATGTACTGTTGCATCTTTAGCTTCTGGAAAAAAATACATAAGCTAAGTTCCTATCAAGTTATTGAACACAGGTTTACCATTTTTTGACTAACTAGAATTGCTTGTGTTAATTTGCAGAATCTGACGGATGAGCTTGACTTGAACTTTTCGAGTGACAAAGCTGACGAACTGCTGTCAACCACTGGAAGGCTCTTCATCAATCCAAGGTTCCAGGAACTGAGGAATGCCACTGCTTTTCCTAAGTGAGCCTCTTTCCATCCTCTTTGGATCGCCGACCACTTCAATTCACATGCACTCGCATACAAGAGAGAATTTTCTTCACTGAACCTCATGTGTGTGTTATCTTCTTTTTCATTCATCAGGTACTTGTCATTTGTCATTGTCAAGGCTACTGACGCATATGAGGCATTGTGTCTGATGCGAAACTTCGTGTCACATGTCTCCATGGACGGTTCAAACATAGTTCCTCGAGTTTCAGCTGAAAGTATTGTATGAATAGTTCAGTGTTGAGTTTCAGATGAAAGTTTTGTTTGGAAATCTTGTTTCTTCTCCCTGCTTCCTCTGTTTGACATATCCACGGTACTAGGCAGTTGAGAAACCAAACACCCTGACTGATGTTGGACAGTGTCTTTAATTAGATATCTGGCTTAACTCTCTGCTATCTTACACAACCAGTGTTTGTTAATTGGTGGATGGCTGATGACATTGTTCGTGATGGTACACTGAGTTCTAATTCTCGTATATTCGATGGATGATTGTTTACATTTCCGAACTAGCACGTGGTTGAGAATTTAAATTTTGGATCTGTGAATTCTTATCTTTACTATCACTGCTATACGTGCGTACAGAGTTTTAATACTGTGTATCAGTGAATAAATGTTCAGGCTAACTCTTCAGTTTTAGTTTGCTCTGCTCCTCCTTTTGCTGAACCTGCTAGAACCATACAATGACGATTAGTATAGTACAGAACAATTAGGATCAATTAGTTATCTCAGTTACCAATTACAGAACGTCCGAACCACGGTTTAGAGCAGCCAAAGAACAATTCTAGCAAATTTTTGAGACATAGAAAAGAACAATTGTACCTTAACATAATAGTAAAACACAACATTGATCCTATTTTCTTGATATTGCAAAATTAATTGTACATTCGCAACGTAATACCATGGAACAACAATGTACATTGTACACGTAGGGACCTAAGGATCTTATGCTTGGTTGAAATGTACGAGTTAGAAAACCAACTAGTTCAAAGTTTAAGCACAAATTCTGCCACCATTGATCCTCCTAAGAAAAATGAAGCCATCAGTTATATAAACTTTTGAATTGGGATATTCAATTGCATTTCATTTGCGCAGCAGTAAAATCATTAGAAATAAATTTTAATAATATGAACACCAAGTAGATAGATACACCAATTGCTAGCTGTTATTAGATCTAAACTTGGGATTCTTTTTACACTGCACGGCCAATAGCCCAGACCATTCAATGTCACTTAGCTTCAAAGATCAAAAAACACATGGAGTCATCACGGTTGAAAGGCACCAAACAGTGTCCTTTGATCATCTTTTGCTCCTCTGTTTGCTGAAGCTGAGAGAATTACACGGCAATTAGTACTGTACAGAGAAAAAATAGTTGTCTCAAATCACAATTGCTGTTCATCATCGGCAGCCAATAACTACTTGTTGACTCACCTCTTCCCTGTTTCATTGGCTTCCTTTCCCCCGCGGGCGACGGCGTCGACAATGGCGTTGAGCTGGCCGCGGCGGCGGCCGCGGCTGCCGCTGCGGCGAACGCCAGCGCCGGCTTCTGTATTGAATTGATCTTGAGAGGCTTGTCGCTGCTCCTGTTTGCTGCGCTGTTCTTCGGGGTCGTCTTCTTGGTCAGCACGGGTGAGGGGGGCGCCGCGGCCTGCTCTTTGGCGTCCCTGGCTTCCGCCTCCAGGACGCGGCAGGCCACGTCTACCATGTCGCGCGCGCGCTTCCTGGCGGCGGCCGCCTCCCGGATCAGGCGCTCCGCCTGCTCGCGCGCCGCCGCCGCGGCACGGGCGACGGACTCGTGCGCGAGCCGCGCCGCGACGAGGAGCACGCGCTCCGCCAGCGCGTGCGGGGCACCGCTCGAGGGGGCGTAAGTGAAGGTCCTGCCCTCGGCGGCGGCGGCGCACGCTGGGCACACGAAGTAGGAAGGGTCCGTGAGGCAGGCGAGGTGGGCGGCGGCGACGGGCTCGACGCCGCAGCAGGAGCATGAGACGATGGGGTTATAGAAATCATCTTGGAAGGGCGCGTCCCCCGGGAAGACGTCAAGGCAAACGGAGCAGAAGGCGTCGCGGTGGCCGAGGAGAACGCAGGAGGAGCAGAGGCGGTAGACGCCGCCGTTGTGGCGGACACGGTGAGCCCAGACGTTGTGGCTGGAGGAGCAGCCTACGCCATCGCAGCCGCCGGGGCCGTAGGCGGCGGCGGAAGGGCACGGGACGACGGGGTTCGCCATCGCTACGACGGCGGCTCAATTCGGAGGAACTGGTGGGGAAGATTTAGGGTTTTTACTGGGAAGTAGGAATTTGAAGTTGATTGGAGAGAGAGACCAGGATTGCGAGGAAAGATCTAAAGGCCCTTAGAATAGTAAGATTCAGAAAACTTAGGATTTTGATAGAAGTATAAGTGTAAATTAGATGATTGTAAAACGTATGAAAAACATATGAATAACCGTTTGATTGAACCACGACTGTTTAATTGAATTGTAGGAAAAACGTAAAAATTGGATTAGAGAGATAGACTCAAAGAAAAATTACCTATAGGATTGAAATCCTCCAAAATTCCTATGTTTTCCTCCATATCAAAGGGTCCCTTACTTTTTTTTTACAAAAGAAAAAAGATAAAAATTGAAGAAGACAAAAAAAACTTGAAATAAACAAACCTCCCGTATTTGTATTTTTTTGGATGAAGGAAGTAGGATTATCTCATAGGCATCAACAAATCTGACATTGTGCCATTTTTATAAGTAGGTCTTGAAATACCACTTTACAAAAGTGGACTCGATAAAATATCACTCTTGACCCATAGCTACATGCTGCAATACCATCCATGAGCAAATTACCGTTGGCTTCTTACATTCCCATCCTCTTTTCCAACTCCGGTTTATCCCTTGCCGTGTGCCCACCGTGAGGACGCGCCCTTTCCCGAGCATGTCCGTCGTCGTCGCCGCCTAGCTCACCTCCAAGCATGCCCGTCATTGTTGTTAATTGCGCTGTTATTAAGCTCGGCCATCGCTATGACGGCGGCTCAATTCGGAGGAATTGGGGAAGAATTAGGGTTTTTACTTGGAAGTCGGAACTCGAAGTTGATTGGAGAGAGAGACCAGGATTGCGACGAAAGATCTAAGGGCCCCTTAGAATCGCAAGATTGAGAAAACGTAGGATTTTGATAGGAGTGTAAGTGTAAAACATAGGATTGTAAAATGCAGGAAAAACACAGGAATGGCCGTTTGATTGAACCGCAGGAAAAACACATAAATTGGATGAGAAAGATAAACTCAAAGAAAAATTACTGAGAGGTTGAAGCTCTTGCTAAATTTCCTCCAAAATCTTTACAGGATTGTCCATTCCATAGGAATTTCAAAGCATTGTATAGGATTCAATCCTTTGTTTCAAAGGCTTCATAGAAAATTTTCCTATATGATTGAAATCCTCCAAAATTTCTATATTTTTCCTCCATATCAAAGGGGCCCTTACTTTTTTTACAAAAGAAAAAAAGATAAAAATTGAAGAAGACAACAAAAAATTTGAAATAAACAAACCTCCTCTATTTGTATTTTTTGGATGAAGGAATTAGGATTGTCTCATAGGCATCAACAAATTTGACATTGTGCCATTTTCCTAAGTAGGTTTTGAAATACCAGTTCACAAAAGTGGACTCGATAAAATGTCACTATTGACCAATAGCTACTTGCTACAATACCATACATGAGCAAATTAATTACCGTTGGCTTCTTAATTACATACCCATCCTCTTTTCCAACTCCGGTTTGTCCCTTGCCGTGTGCCCACCCACGTGAGGACGCCCCTTTCCCGAGCATGTCTGTCTGTCGTCGTCGCCGCCTAGCTCACCTCCAAGCATGCCCATCATTGTTGTCAATTGCACTGTCCTTAAGCTCGACCAGCGGACGCCACAGTCGTTGCTCATGCTGTCCTCGAGCTCGAGCGTCGCCACTTTGAGATGAAGCCATCGTGCCTGAGCCGCCGATTCAACCTCCGTCGGTCGTCATCGGTTGGTGCAGCCTCCACGGCAACACATGCAGCAGCACAAGCATAACAACATATGAATACTAGCTCTGACGAGGCCATGGTGAATAAGGCTCCGACACATGAGACCACAACGCAGCAGCTCGCCCTCTCATCGCTGTCGTCGTCATCCACTCCACCCTGAGCTCGGTGACAGTGGTGGTCGAGCTCTGGAAAGCTGAGCTTGGGGATGGAGCAATTACAGGGACAACAACCACGTAAGCGGTAATCGAGCTCGGGGAAGGTAACGCATTGATAATGGACGGGCGTTGGATAGACGGTGCGATCGGGATTGGAATGCTGGAGCTTGCGCTCAAGCAGTGGTGGGAGCGAGGGAGGTCGTCCACTTAGCTGGGAACGACGCACTGGGGCTGCTGGCAACCACTACTGGCGTTGGAGAGAGGAAGAAAAGAAACGGAGGGTAATTTGGTTATAGATAGTATTCTAACGTGTAGAATTAAATGTGATATTTTAACGAATCCTATTTGCAAAGTGACATGCCAGTGAAACTCATACGTGACGATGACACGTTTCGCAGCGATTTATCACGGCCTTTTTTTTGTAAAAAAGAAACAAATTAATCCCAAAATTACCATTTCCCCTGCCCTGACAATTCTCCCCGCTTCCGCTCCCAATTCTTCATAGCATGCTCTGGGGCTCTGGGCATGTCGTGCCGCGCGGGGACGCCGGGGAGCGCGCCACCGCCGGTGCAGCCGTGGCCCGTGGGTGGTACTGGCCTGCGTGCCGCTAATGGCCTACTCAGAGGAGCACCTCCCGCCGGGAACCGACGCTTGCCTCCCGCTTGACGACCCGCCGCATCACCCCTGACGCCCACCAGCCTCGTGAACTACCCCTACATCGCCGCCGCGGCGCGGACCCCTGCGTTCGCCGCCTCCTCTGAGTGATCCATGGCCCGGCCGCGGCGGAGCCTTCCGACTCCACGGCCCTCGGACTCCGCCCCGACTTCTTCCCGGCCTAGCTACTTCCTCTGCGTGCAGCTGGCCACCGGAGGGGAGGGCGACATCGCCAAGCGCCCCGCTGCATCAAGGCGAGCGCGGGCAACAAGATGCGGTACGTGCAGATCCATGGTCCTCCGGACGAACAGGTGGTGACCATTTGGACCCTGCACGATCGAGTGCACGCACGGTGGCGGCGCGAGTACGAGGTGCCCTTTGTCGAGACCTGGGACGGCAAGAGGTACAAGAGGAGCGAAATGGAGCGCAAGGTCCCCGCGCTAGCTGGCGCTCTTGCACCCCAACGACCCCGACGTGATCTACTTCTTCCAGGGCCAACTGATGTTGGGCGGCGCGGAGGGAGGTTCTGGAGTACGAGCTCTTCGGGATGATCCACTGACCAAGACGCCAAGTGTTGGTACTCTTCCCTTCTTCGTCCGCGTTTGGGAGGTTCCACCGTCGCTTCCACGGACTGTTCCTCCAGTTCAGCATGGTGCATTTCTTCTTGCTTACTGCTGCAGTGCTGTTTTTTTTTCTGTAGAAGAATGCTAAATTGCCGAATGGTAGAGTTTTATGCAAGACCTCTGCTTAGGCAAGAGTTTTTAGCTAATAATTCACCTGGGGTTGCTTATTTCTGTGGTTACCTTTGTCCTAGTAGTGGATGCTTTCAGAAACTTTCAGATATACATAATTATAGCTACCTTGTCAGTTACTGTTGTACCGCATTTTGCCATCAGTCCAGGTCTAGACATTATATGGACTATCATCAGTTCGAGTGCTAAAGGATGCTTTACATTGCTCTCAAGGTGTGGTGGTTGTTAGTTACACATGTTTCGTGCTTAAATAATTACTCCACCCAACTGAGGCCCATGGATGTCGTAGAACAGTCTTATGGATCAAAGTTCAGATTATGTGTTTAGAGAGGGTTTTAACATGTGCTTTCAGAATTTCGTTGAACACTAGCAAAATCATTGAAATGGGCACATATATATTCATTTTTCATAGTACTAAGCATATCTCATGCATCTACAAACAGGATGCTAGATAAAATGTAGTCTCTATACTGTTCCTCTGTCCCTTCATTACTTCTTGCGTACTGTGATTGGCTGCTCTGGAATGCTGTAGCTGTAGTTTTGTAGTGATGTTTCATGAGGAAAGGTAAATCAGTACAGCTGGTCACAAATTCACAATGTCAATTTCTGCCTGAACATATACAGAATGTCGTGGCCCCATGGGTTCTGTGTATGCAGATCTTTTCTTTTTGTTATCTGTGCTGTTACCAGACAATCTCCTCAACTGAGTTGGCTTGATAGATCATCTCCTAATAGGATGCATATGAATGCATGTCTTTAGGCAAACATTTGTCCATAATACATTTAAAATCATATGACTGATCTAGGTAAATTTGCTCTGAGTATAAGCTGTGTGTTTGGCTGTTCAGTATCCGCTTTTATTTCCAAGTGTCAATCCCATATCGTTTTGAACCCAATAACATAAGAATGCTAGCTGTTGCTTGAGTGTTTAAGAACGCGCTCATTCTGAATATGCACAAAGATGTGCTGCATAACTGCTTTTGTTGTTTTGGGGGGGGGGGGGGGGGGTATTAGTGTTAAGGTCAACAGTATCAAAGCTTTCTTGGCCCTTTTTATTAAGCATTGCTTTCTAAATAAGCTTCACATGTTTGCTAAAAAATGAATTCATGCTTTCAGATTTGAAACTCTTATATATGTAGCATCAGGATTTATGATGAATCATTATATTTCTTGTCCTTTCTGTTCAGAGTTCTCTCTCTGTCTTGAACTCAAAATGGACTTTATTGTTTCAAATGAGTTGTCCCTATCTACAAAATTATTAATTAGCACTGATTTTTCTGCGTTATTGATCAATGAATATTTGTCTGTGAAGTATCAAGTATCATCTGATGTTGATGAGGAAGATTGTCTATGTTTGAGAACTAAAATGAAGATCATGGACTTACGGTGAAAGGCCTAAGGATCTGCTATTCTGCTCCATCTGACTACGCCTCTTCTCACTAAGGTGATTGATCCACTTATATGACCAGACGACCTTTTCATTCAACTTCAAACGGCATGTGATCTTAATTGAGAAGATTTCATAAGTACATAACTAACTTTCCTTAATTTGATCTAGGTCTTCCATTAAAAAAATGATACAGGTCAGAGACCAGTCACTGCTATGATTCGGATCTACTCCCTCCGTCTCAAAAAAAAAAAGGCAAACCCTGAGTTTCCGTGTCCAACTTTGATTGTCCGTCTTATATGAAATTTTTTTATAATTCGTATTTTCATTGTTGTTAGATGATAATACATGATTAATATTTTATGCGTGACTTGTCTTTTTAATTTTTTTTTATATTTTTTTCAAATAAGACGGACGGTCAAACATTGGGCACGGAAACCAGGTTTGTCTTTTTTTTTTGGGACGGAGAGAGTATATGCTTCTGTTGGCCAGTGCATGCAAGACAAGACATTTTTTACGGACTGAAATTTTATGGTGCTTGGAATAAATCTTGTAACATTTGTGACTTGTGGGCTGTGAATTGTGATAGAGATGACCTGGTAATCTTTGAAACGAGTTGTTAAAATACATGTTTTTAGTGGACCAATTGGTCGCTGGATGACTTACTTGTTCGTCCTATGTCCCCAGATTGGTTGTCATTCTGAACTCCGTATTTTACACTGTACATGTATATAGCAGTACTGATAATAAATGCGCTCTTCGTCCAAAACCATTAGTAGTGAAGGATTTTACAGTAAATAACTTTAAATTTCGGTATGAAACAGGTAAATATCCTGTGCCAAAAAACCATTTAAGCAGGCCTACCGCTATAGGTGCAGGATTTTACAGTAAATAATTTTAAATTTCGGTATGGATCAGGAAAATATCCTGTGCCTCACTGCCTCCTGGGCGAAAATTCATTTATACAGGGCCTGGCACTCAATACAGGGCTGACTCCGCTCGACCAGTGACGGCTTCACAAATGTGACAACCAAAACTTCTTCGCAAACGTGGCAACCAAACTTGCCGTCGATCTCCTGTTTCCCAATTTAAATAGCCAAACTCCATTTCGCTGCCCAAAATTTTCAAACACCAAACCCCCAAATCGATACCGTCATAGCAGCTATACTCGCCTAGCTACCACCACCGCAACCATCTCTCCGCCTCCGGCCATTGCCGAACTGCAAATGGCGAGGCTGCAGGAGGAGAGGGCGGCGGAGGAGATGCAGATGAGGGAGGCGGCGAAGGGGTGGTGGGTGATCCTCGTCTCCGTCCCGCACGTTGCCCACGACGAGTTCCACTTTCCTCCGGGCACCGAGCTCCGGTTAAACTTCGGCGCCCCTCCGTTCGCCTCCCGCATCACCGTGCCCCGCCGCATCGCCCCGGACCGCAAGGCCATCGACAACTACCCCTACCTCGCCGCCGCCGACGAACGCCACGGCCGCCTCCTCCTCTACGCCACCCAGGGACCCGACCCGGAGCCGCGCCCCGCCCTCGACGCGTTCTACCTCAGGCCGCTCGGCGTGCACCACGGCTTCGCCAAGGCCTACTTCATCTGCGACACGACCACCCGCGAGGCCAGCCGCCTCCCTGACCCCGACCACCCGTTCGCCATCCTCTATCCAGGCAACGTCGGCCTCCTCTGCTACTCCATCAGCTTCTACGTCGCCGAGCTCCAGCCCGCTCCCGCGTCCGGCACCGCCACCCTCCTCCTGTACCGCTCCGATTCCGACGCCTGGGTCGACGAGGAGCTCAGCTACCCGCCGCACGACCGGCCGTGGGGCGGCAACGGCATGGTCTCACACCAGGACAGGCTCTGGTGGGTGGACCTCTCCTATGGCCTCCTCACCTGCGACGTCGTCTACGGCGACGACCCCCCGGACCTGCACTACGTACCGCTCCCGCAGGACAGCGAGCTGCCCGCCGGCACGCCGGACCTCGAGAAGCGCCGCTGCGTCGGGGTGAGCGCCGGCCGTCTGCGGTACGTGCAGATCGACGACGAGCCCGACGGCGACCCGATCGTCAGGATGTGGACGCTGCTCGATGAAGATGCCGGGGAGTGGGGCTTCGACTGCGCGGCGAGCTTCGTGGCGATCTGGGACGACGAGGCCTACAAGGCGACCAAGCTGCCGCGGCAGGTCCCCGCGGTGGCGCTCATCCACCCCACGGGCCCCGGCGACGTGGTCTACTTCTTCCTGCGCTCCCGGATCTTCGCCGTGGACGTGCGCGCGCGCAGGCTCCTCGAGTGGCGGTTCTTCGAGATGCTCCACCCGCCGATGCGCTACCATTCGTCCCAGTTCGTCCGTGCCTGGAACCTGCCAACTTTGTTCCAGTGAGATTTTGGTATGCATTTAGACTTTTAGTAACTGCATAACCTTGCCTGATGTTGGTGTGGATGCTAACAGTGTGGCAGTCAGTGAGCAATGTTGATTTTGTACTGATAATGAGTTGCCATGTTTTAACCTGACAAGATAGCATGCATACCAAAATCCTTGTTCATTAGTAGTAGTGCAGCACTACTAATTGTAATCTGTGGTACAAGTATACTACTTCATGCATCATGGGATTACTCCACCTGTTGTTTCTTCATTTCTGGATCGTTATATGTGAGTGACTGCAATGAATATATTTTTTGACACATGTATTTGAATACTGATTACTCTTTATTTCCACCTGTTTACCCTGTTTTAGCTAGCGTTCATAATTAAGCTTGTCATGATCCTATTTAAATACTTCGTAGCTGCACCAACATCAATCATCAGATTCGTTAGCATATGATGAAACTAGCTGGGTGGCCCACGCAATTACGCGGCTAGCACACATATAAAGTTATATATTTTTTAATATAATTTTATTTAAAATTTATTAAATAGTTATCTTGTTGTCTTAAGATTTTGAAAGACCAAACCTTATCATCCTCGTGTTTTTAATTTTATAGTTTTTAAAAGTCACACCAGCTGCTACCCCTTACTACTGTCATATTATTCTTTATTAGCTTGCTCGATCTACCACTTTTTCTATTCATTCTCCTCGGAACCTTTAAAAATTCAATCTAAAAAATTATATTTTTAGAGTTTATTGTCCTGTTGGGCATTTAGAAGTCCCCGTGTTTCTAATTATATAGTTTTTAAAAGCCACACCAGTTGCTACCGCTTATGTCATCTCCTTCTTTATTTGCTTGCTCGATCTACCACTATTTCTATTCATTCTTCTTGGAACCTTTAAAAACTGGATTTTATAGTTTTTAGAGTTTATTGTCACGTTGGGTTTCATTTTTATAATTTCTAGATGTCCCATCAAACATTGCCATTATACTCCTCTACGGTCCGTCCACTGTCTCTTCTCTTTATTGTCATTGAGATTTTAAAAATCGAACATAATTATCGTTTGGGTTCATTTTTACTTTCTAAAAGTCCCGCCAAACTGTCAGCGGCTTTGTCATTGTACTCCTCTACAGCTCGTCCGCTGCCTCCCTTCTTTATTGCCATTGAGATTTTAAAATCGAATATGATTAACATTGTTTTTTCTTTTACTTTTTAGAAGTTCCGAACCTTTAAAAATTGGACTTTTATTTTTATTTTCTATAATTTTTAGAAGTCCCATCAAACGATGCCACTATGCCCCTCTACAGCCCGTCCGCCGCCTACTCTTTATTGTCATTGTGATTCTAAAAATCGAACATAACTATCGTTGGAATTCATTTTTTAGTTTCTAGAAGTCCCGTCAACCATCGGTGGCTCTGCAACTATACTCTTATACACCCCGCCCGCAGTTTCTCCTTTTTATTGTTATTGAGATTTTAAAAATCGAATATGATTATCAATGGGGTTCATTTTTTTTACTTTCTAAAAATCCTGGCAACCGTCTTACTCGTTTGCTTCACAGCCTGCCTGATGTCCCTCCTTTTAATCGTCATTAGGATTCTATTTGGTGTTTTATTAACAATTTTTATATGTTGTATCAACCGCCATCACTCTACTCCTTTATAGGCCTGTTACTTAATTTATCTCATCATGTGTTTTGGACAATCTTTTCTTTCAATAATCTTTATTTTTATCACAAATTTTAGTTATTTATAAATTATATTCCTAGCTGAAATCTTATTTTTCTTTTTCTAATTTCAGTTTTTTTTAAAAAAAATTACTTCCTCCGTTTCACAACGTAAGACTTTCTAGCATTATCCACATTTATTTAGATGTTAATGAATCTAGACATATGTATGTGTGTAGATTCATTAACATCTATATGTATATGGGCAATGCTAGAAAATCTTACATTGTGAAACGGAGGAAGTAGTCAATACCGTATTATGTTCTTTTAATGCTTTTTTTTTATTTTCAATTTCAGTTGTTTCAAAACTGTATTCCTACTTGAACTCTCTTTTAATTTTTTTAATTTTGGACATTATTTTATTTTTAATTCTAAATTTTAATTAATCTCGTATTGGATTCTTATATGGACTCTTCTTTCAACATTGCTTATTTTTAATTCCGAATTTCAACTAATTTTAAATTATATTCCTACTTGAACTCTTCTTTTATTTTCTTTTGCTAATTTCGGATTTATTTATTTTTATTCCAAATTTTAATTAATCTCATATTGGGTTCTAATATGGACTCTTCTTTTAATATTCCTTATTTTTAATTCCGAATTTTAGCTATTTTTAAATTGTATTTCTACTTGGACTCTCTTTTCCTTTTCTAATTTTGAATCTTATTTTATTTTTATTTCGAATTTTGATTAATCTCGTATTGAGTTCTTATATAGAAACTTCTTTCGATATTGCTTATTTTTAATTCCGAATTTCAGCTATTTTTAAATTGTATTTCTACTTGGACTCTCCTTTCCTTTTCTAATTTCGAATCTTATTTTATTTTTATTTCAAATTTTGATTAATCTCGTATTGGGTTCTTATATAGAAACTTCTTTCAATATTGCTTATTTTTAATTCTGAATTTCAGCTATTTTTATATTATACTTCTACTTGGACTCTCCTTCCCTTTTCTAATTCTGGATTTTATTTTATTTTTATTTCAAATTTTGATTAATTTTGTATTGGGTTCTTATATAGAAACTTCTTTCAATATTGCTTATTTTTAATTCCGAATTTCAGCTATTTTTATATTGTACTTCTATTTGGACTCTCCTTTCTTTTTCTAATTTTGGATTTTATTTTATTTTTATTTCGAATTTTGATTAATCTTGTATTGGGTTATTATATGGAAACTTCTTTCAATATTGCTTATTTTTAATTTCGAATTTCAGCTATTTTTAGATTGTATTTCTACTTGGACTCTTCTTTTTTTTTTCTTTTTCTCTGACTAACCCTGGATTTGAATCTAGACATACCCAGGATTTGGTTTTTTTTTGGACGGGGAGAGTATATGTTTATTGATAACTATTATATATATTGACTATTAAATTAACTTTACATGATTTGGAACCTATAGTTGACTATACCGTTAAACTTGCTCTCAAGGCAGAGCTCATGCCTTTCCTACTCAAAAAGGGGAAAAAAGAGAGAATCTCTTATATGCTACGAAATTGGCCAGTTCCCTTATATGCCATTTAAAATTGGCTTCTCTCTTATATGCCATTGGTTTAAGTTTTTCCACCCTTTTATGCCACTCTCAGCACTACAGTGTTAGTTGACTGTTATTTAAATGTTAGTTTTTCATAAATGACCAATATGCCCTCTCAACTAAAAAATATGTAAACTTCAAAAAATTATAACTTAAATCCTTTTTGAGTGAACCAAATTTTGTTAGAGCCAGTGAAAAATGCTCTTTGTACTAAAAAAAATATTGTTGGAAAACTACATATTTCATGATTATATTGAATTTTTTTTTGATGGTGATGGCTAAAATTGCATGTGATGAAAAAAAAATCAATTTTCATATATTGTATCCAGTAGCTATATTAGTACTAAAATACTTATTATTGGTTGTATACCAACTCTCAAGGACAAATTCGTTTGTTAACTATAAAGTTAACGGTCAACTGGCGGTGAAGCGACGGCAATGGCATAAAAGGGGGGCGGTGGAGCGACGGCAATGGTATAAAAGGGAGGACACAAACTTGAACCAGTGGCATAGAAGGAATAAGCTAATTTGAAATGGCATATAAGAGAACCAGTTAATTTGAAGTGACATATTAGGGATTCTCTCAAAAAAAAATTAATGTGCTGATAGCCTGATACAGAGACCGAAACTGAAACCATAACATTGCACTGTTTTGGTTGATGTGCCGTGCGTGGCGCAGTCGGAGAACGCGGCCAGGAGCACCGGACACGGTGTCCTCCAAGTGACCGCTGCATTGCAGATCACGTGTCAAAGTAAGCAAAAACTGGAAAACCAAGTACCCACGATGCCTGACTGGCTGGGTGCCTGCGTCGACGCAGGCCAGACCCCCGTGTGCCGGTGTGCGCGCCGTACGATCCAGACCACAACCGCCTCGCTCTCCCAGCGTGCGCCCCGTCGTCTCGCGTCGTGTTCCCCGCCCATGGCAATCGCACGAGCTTTCGGCGCGGCGCTCTCGCTTCGATCGATCCCTCGCCTGCGCGCCTGTCCATGTCCATGCGGCTGGCGCCGTCGCGTACTCGGTACTCCCGTGCGCCCGCGCGTCAGGCGTCACCATCGGCGCGCGCGCGCGCGCACGCGGTACATCGCACTCGTGCATGCTCGCCGTCCGCTTCTCCCCTTCTCCCCTGTGCTAGCTCACGCTTGCCACCGCGCCCCCCAGGCTATGTCTTCGCTACCCTGAACCTCGCGCTCGTTCTAACCGTTGCATGGCAATGCCGCGCACGCGCACGCTAGCGCTGATGAACCATTTGCGTTCTCTTCTCGAGCACGAAATGTACCGGCTCGTGCCATCCACGGGAACTCCACGCCGAGTCGGCGATATAAACCACGACACAACGGCGGCACAGAACGTGACCAGACCACGGCCGGCCTCTCCCCGAGACCAAATAGCGAATCCACTCTGCTGCGAAAAAAAAAAATCCCCAAACACCAACCCAAATCTCTCTCTCCCTCCTCTCTCTCCCCTCTCTCTCTCTCTCTCTCTCTCTCTCTCTCTCTCTCCAGCCATGTCCGAAGCGCCGCCAATGGAGAAGGTGGATACGGCGGTGAAGGACAAGCGCTGGCAGAAGAAGGACGGGCGGAAATGGGTGCTCCTGGCTTGCGTGCCGCACGTCGTCCGCGGCGACTACTTCGAGGCTGGCATGGACAACGTGATCAAGGCCGCATTAGCTCCGCGCGCCACCCGCCTCGTCGTGCACCGGAGCATCGCGCCGCGCCGCAAGACCATCGACGACCACCCCTTCGTCGCCGGCGCCGACTGCCATGGCCGCCTCCTCCTCTACGCCAGCCAGGGGCCCGAACCGGAGCCGCCCGTCCTCGACGGCTTCTACCGTGGGCCACTCGGCGAGCACCACGGCTTCCCCAAGGCGTACTTCATCTGCGACACGCTCAAACACAAGTCCACCCGCCTCCCCGACCACGGCTTCCCCATCCTTCACCCCGGGAACGCTGGTCTCGTCGCCATCACGAAAACCATCTTCCACGTCGCCGATCTCCACCCCATAGTCGGCTCAGACAAGGCCGCCCTGCTCATCTACTTCTCGGTTCCCGAAATCTGGGCGACGCATGTGGTCGACTACCCGCCGCGCGACCGTCCCTGGGGCGGCAACGGCGTCGTCGTGCACAAGACGATAGTCTGGTGGGTGGATCTCTCCTACGGTCTCCTCTCCTGCGACATCAGCGCGAGACGTCAGAATCTGCGCTTCGTCCCGCTCCCTCCGGATTGCGAGCTGCCGCCGGGCACGCCTGACCTCGATAAGCGCCGGTGCGTTGGGTTTAGAGGCGACGATCTCCGGTACATGGGGATCCACGAGCGCGAGTACGACGGCAAACCGGTGGTCAGCATGTGGACGCTGGTCGATCAGGATGCCGGGACTTGGCGTCTCGACTGTCAGCCGCTCGTCAAGGATATCTGGAACGACGAGGGCTACAAGGCGACCAAGCTGCCGCGGGAGATCCCCACGGTGGCGTTCATACACCCGGAGCTCCCCGGCAACGTGGCCTACTTCTTCATGCGCTCGCGGCTGTTCGGCGTCAACCTGTACACGCGCAAGGTCCTGGAGTGGCAGTTCTTCGCGATGCTGAACCCGCCGATGCGTTACCACTCGTCCCGATTCGTTCGTGCTTGGGCTTGCCCAAATTCTGGTAAGTAACTGTATAATCTTCTTTCCTGATTTTTTTGTGTTGATTACTTGATTAGTCTCTTCTACTGCTTTTCTGTTTGGTGTCTTCTTGAGTAATTAATTAGTCGCCTAATTTGATGTAGCATGCATGTCTTTACTCTGAATTAAGCATGGAAATGAAGTACTTAAGGATTCACCTGGATAAGATGTCTCCTGTTTGCTAGGCCTGATCATGCATGCACTCTGTGAAATAAGCACTCGAAATTACAGCTTCATGTTCATGCACGGCTAGAATTCATTACTTTGTCCATTATTCTTCATTTTTGGAACGTTTAGAGTCAGTAAGTTGACTAAATCGCACTATTCAGCACTCTATCTCTATCACGCGCAACTCATTATAAATGTTTTGATCATATGAAATGATCTTAGTAAGTTTTGTACGGAAATAATCTTACTGATAATCTAAAATTAGTACTTCGGTGAACGCTAGATTCCAACCCAGTCTTGCCCTGTTTTACTGGTCTGCTCATATTGCTCGTCATGACTGCTTTAATGGTCAGTAGCTGCACCAGAATCTATCGTCGTGTGCATTAACATATCAATGTAAATTAGCTTTTTGGTAGTTTGATTTGTTGCTTAGTCACAGGGTATTCTGCCAAACCATTTTAGCACAGAGTACTGTACAGAGTCAGTTTTGGCATGAGCATGAATGCATATGATACTCATTATATTCTTATCTGGAAGTATTAATTTCTTTCTTACTACATGTGAACTTTTGTTTTAAAGATAATTAACGATATGGGAACTTTTTTTAGATAAGGATATGTGACTTTTTTTAGGAGTTCAAACTTTTTTATAGCAATTCTACAGTCCTTGAGGTACCATGAGGTACCAAAAAAATTAGTGTAAAATTTGGTATCTCTTGGTACATGGTACTATGAGGTACCAAATTTACAATAGAAAAAACGGTACCTCATGGTACCTCTTCAAGGATCGTAAAATTGCTCTTTTTTTAAGTACAAACTTGTAAACGATCTCAATTGAAATGCTAGTTTCCTAGAAGCTTTTATCCTTGCGTGACATTTCCATCATTTTTGCTTGTGTTGAAGGTTCTGACGATCAGAAAAAAGGCGTTCCTCTGGCGAGTACAAGTGATTCAAGTAAAGTCTCGCCAGTCTAAGGATCCACGACGAAGACAAAGGCCGGTTGCTTCCTCCTTATGATTTGCTGAGCATTGATCAATTGATCCAATGACCATGAGTATTGTTGCTACATGGAACATGACGTGTTCTCTTTCGTGTACCAGTAGGCAGTACATTCTACATGCCGCACATGGAACATGACGTATTCTCATTCGTGTACCAGTAGGCAGTACATTCTACGTGCCGCAATGCTGATTCTGATATCACTTCAATTTGAATAAAATTCGGTTGCTCGACTGACTATGCTGATTAACAGTTCCTTCTCTAAAAATGACTAATGGTAATGTCTCTAAAACAAAAGCAATAGATCGGGCATTATTACATAATTTGTTACTGATAGTTTTGGACTCCGATTAACTGAACCATCTTTGCGAACCATTGCCAATGACGTAGAAAACGTGTAGATCACTGGTGGAGAAAGCGTTTGTAGTCCTGATTCGTAACCCCCCTTTAGTCCCGGTTTTTAAACCGGGACTACCAATCCGGGACTAAAGATCGCTATCTTTAGTCCCGGGTGAAATAACCGGGACTAAAGATCGATCTCAACCGGGACTAAAGATGGTTCGTAACACCAACTGGGACTAAAGATCGAGCTAACCTTTTTTTTTGCATGGCCCTGTTGCTGCATGGTTTATATACATATTTATATACATACATACATACATACATACATACATACATACATACATACATATATATATATATATATATATATATATATATATATATATATATATATATATATATATATATATATATATATATATATATATATATATATATATATGACCAAAATATATATTTACATTATACAAAATGTGCACATGTATATAGAAAAATAGACATGTATTAATTACAATCCATTATGTCCTAGCTAGCTACGATTTCGACGTAGTAGTAGTCGCTATCTCAGAAACTAAGGACCTATGAACTGTATTTCCGTCGTAGTAGAATTCACCCTTGGGATCAAGGATTTGTTCGTTGATAAATCCCATGAGTTGTTTTTGAACCGCCGCGATAAATTCCTTGTGTGTGATAAAGTTATCCCTCATGCGAATAAACTATATGAATGTATGAAATTAATTAGTAATTAAACAACAAATCGATACGTAATGAAATTTTGAATTTATTTGTACGTACATCGAGCTCTCTTGTGGTGATGATTTGGTTTGCAAGGCAGTGGCAATACTCGCACACGTAGTAGCCGCACAAGTTAGTTCCCTGCTTTTGCTTTGCTCGTTCGTTTACGTACGTTCAAATACAACGTTAAGTTCACGTTCGTTCATGTTCACGTTCGTTAACGTTCGTTCACGTTCACGTTCACGTTCGTTCACGTTCACGTTCGTTCACGTTCACATTCGTTGACGTTCGTTCACGCTCGTTCGTTCACGTTCAATTCTCGTTCACGTACGTTTCGTTCGTTCACGTTCTCGTTCACGTTCATTCGCTCGTTCACGTTAATTCGTTCGTTCACGTGGCGGCAGCGGAGCGCCGGTGTGGCGGCAGCGGAGTGGCGGCGGGGCGGCGCGGCGGCGGCGTGGCGGCGCGCGCGGCATCGGTGTGGCGTGCAGCGCGGCGGCAGCGCAGCGCGCGGCGCGGCGGCAGCGTTGCGCGGCGGTGGCGTTGTGCGGCGGAGGCGTGGCGGCGCGGCGGTGCCGTGACGCGGCGGCGTCGTGGCGTCCCGGCGTGTCGTGCCGCCGCGGCGTCGTGGCGCGGCGGAGTCATGTTCAGCCGCGACGACGTCGGCGTCGGCGTCGGCAACGAGGCGGCCGGCGGCAACCGAGAGAGAGAGAGAGATCGAGATCGGAGAGAGAGCTAGAGAGGGAGGCGGCGGCGGCTCTCACCCCAGAGATGCGGCGGTGGCGGAGGAGGCGGAGGCGGCGATGACGACGCGCGCGAGACGACGGCGAGATACGACGGCGGCGTCGGCGCGGGGATGCCCTAGGCAGTGGCGGCGAAGGAGAAGCCGAGAGAGATCGATCGGGGCAAAAACTTCTAAGTGTTGATGGAGAAGACGAGGGCGCGCATTGGGAATATATATACCCCTAGATCTTTAGTCCCGGTTGATGAGAACAACCGGGAGTAAAGACATCTTTACTCCCGGTTGTTGAGAACAACCGGGACTAAAGAAAGTCCCGATTGTTCTCAACAACCGGGAGTAAAGATGTATTATAAGTCCCGGTTGTTGAGAACAACCGGGAGTAAAGATGTCTTTACTCCCGGTTGTTCTCATCAACCGGGACTAAAGATATTTTCCCGCTATTTCCAAATTCTTTTTAAACCCGGTTAGGGTTAAGAACCGGGACTACTGATAAGCGCACTGAATATTAATTTCCATTACATATGTGTTTCTAAAATAGAAAATAATGCATTAAAATTATTTAAAGTCGAAAAAATAATGACAATTACTTCGAAAAATTATTGTTGTTTGTAGTAATTTAAGTGGATAAAACGTAGTAAGCAAATATATGATTTAAAATTAATAAAATTTCTAATAATCATATATACTTAGCATATAAATAATATTAAATTGTTAAAAACTATAATTAGCATATGTATATACATACGCCATGCATGATTTAAAATTAATAAAAATTCTAATAATCTTATATAATTAGCATATGAATGATATTAAAATAATTGTTAAAAACTCTAATTAACATATGTAAATACATACGACATGCATGATTTAAAATTAATAAAAATTCTAATAATCATATATAATTAGCATATGAATGATATTAAATTAATTGTTAAAAACTCTAATTAACATATGTAAATGCCACATGCATGATTTAAAACTTTTAAAAATTTGAATAGTCATATATAATTAGCATATGAATGATAGTAAATTAATTATTAAAAACTCTAATTAACATATGTAAATGCGACCTGTGTGATTTCTAATAATCATATATACTTAGCCTCGTATATTGTCTCGGGCAATTTGTTTCCCTCCGGAAGAATGTTCTTGACGAGTTTCAATAAATCGCCAAATGCCTTGTCACTAACACCATTTTTTGCGTTCCATTGCAAGAACTCCAAAGTGGTATCCAACTTTTTGTGCCCCTGCTCGCAACCTGGGTACAACGACGTTCTGTGGTCCTCTAACATCTTGTCCAATTTATGGGCCCCCTTTTCACTTTCGCAGTCCTCCTTGACGTCCTGCAATATCTGACCAAGATCATCCGCAACGTCGTTACCATCAGCATCTCTTTCCTCCTCGCCCGTTTGATTTCCTTCAAATCCAACGTACTGAGCAAAGTCCGGAATATTGTCGTCTTCCACTTCATTTTCTTCCATTTCAACACCTTGCTCTCCGTGGGATGTCCAACAATTATAGCTTGGCATGAACCCCGACTCAAACAAGTGGAAATGAATAGTCCTGGATGCAGAATACTCCTTCTGATTCTTACACTTATTGCATGGACAACAAATAAAACCCTTTTGCCTGTTAGCTTCGGCCACTCTCAAAAAATAATGCACGCCGTCAATAAACTCTTTGGACCGCCGGTCAGCGTACATCCATTGCCGATCCATCTACATGACATGAAAAAAAATCGTACACAAATAATTATTCTTACAATAATGACAGTCATACAATAATTATAAAATAATTACAAACTCTTTGAACAGTCAGACAATAATGACATATCTTTATTCATATAAAAATCATAAAATATTACACCAAATAATTCTTATTTACTATTTCTAAAGTTTTAAACTTATATTAATGTGTTTTACTTCTTTTAATTTTCATTTTAGTTTGTTTTCTATTATTTAAGATTAACTTTCACTATATTTTCCTTCTCAACTATTTTATAAAAC